CCCCCCCCCCTTCAGAGAGTACAAGGTGAAAACCTAAAAATGATGACCTTGATGGCAATTTCATCATTTTTGTTATTTTTTCGAAAGCGTACAGAGGGCATCATCTTGCTTTCTCCCCCTCCCCCCCAAGGTTAAAAACTTGTGAAGATGATAATAATGATAAAAAAAATGGCCATCTTATAATGATACTTTGATGGCATCAGATCTTGTTTGAATGTTGACTGTGTGTATGTGTATTAAGAATGTTGTATGAGAATGGCATGGTGTCTTCTTCACTGTTGTGCTCTTGCCAGTTGTTATCATAGGCACTCTAGAAGCACAAATAAATTTTTGTAGAAACTTAATAGATCTAATTGGTACTCTAGAGGCATTTGTGTGTAGCCTTCATAGTGGCTCTATAACTCAAATTTTAAGAAACATCACTAATTGTTTAGGGGTACTTGAAATTTTTATGCTTGCTTTGAGATACATAGTGGATCAGGAATTTTTGTTTTGCATAGCTTACATTTTTTGACTCTACTGCCTGGCAGGATTAACTAGCTAAGAAATATAAAAAGAATATTTGTAATAAAATATTTTTAAAAAAATTGTGCCTCTTGAAGTTACCATAAGATTAACTTTTTCTGTGTGATTAACTATGATGTTATGTCTACTTAGTAAGCTAAATTGTGAAGCCATTTTCTGGGTGATGACATGCTGCTATTAAGCATATTCGTAATACTCTTTCTTTCACCTGTGCACGGTTTTAAGAAATGTTTCTCATGGTATAAGGCTTCATCTGCTTTTAATATTGAATTTCACCGTGAATTTTTTTTTCTTTTTTTTTTCTTTTTAGATTGATACCATTTATGTGTTAAAATGTAGTTACTGCTCTGTGGATGGATTAAGACCATTAATTGTTGACAACAAATTCTATTTGCTACATGTTTAAATATTGGTTGGCTCTTGAGTAGACTTTGATCGCATTCACAACGAGTTGAGCCATGGCTTACAAATCCTGGAACTAAATATGGCGGACGTACATGAAAGAAAAACCGCCTAATCTTTTGATAGTCTCTCCACCTCTCACACGCCTCCCCATATGTCTTCCCAATGGAGCCGAGATTTAATGACTGTACCCCCGCAGGGATGACGCATGGGTAGGCGTGTGAGAGGCAGAGAGACTATTAAAAGATTAGGTGGTTTTTATTTCATGTACGTCCGCCATATTTAGTTCCAGGATTTGTAAAGCCATGGTTCAACTCGTTGTGAATGCGATCTTTAATTATGTAGTCATGTTTGGGGGTCCTCAGACAAATCAAATAAACTACAACCATGATTGTATCCACAGTGAGTGGAGTTTTTTTGTACTCACTGCCACATTCTTTCTCTTTTTTTCCTTCACCTCATGTCGGAACAGAAGAAGGTAAAGTAATATCAAGTAGTATAGAAAATAGGAACGCTCTTTAGTGTAACAGTGTAGAAAGACAGTTGTGATATCCTCGTAGTGCTTTGAATTTTCTTTTATTTTTTTGCAAAACGTAGGTAAATGATCCGTGTAACCTATTTTAAAGGACATTATTTTAGTCTCAGATTCCCTGATACATACCCATGCATTTCAAGCTTTGAAAAACAAAAAAAGATCACTACAGTCACAGTTTCCATTTGTTAACTCTTGTGTGTATGTGTGTGGGATTGATGTGTTTCTGTCATCTTATCTCTCTGATTTAACATTTCTGTAATAGTTTGTACCAAATTTTCTGTTGAACAGTAAATCAAGGATGCCTTAAACTTTGTGAAGTTTCTGGAGTTCTTGGAAACTTGTGGTCAAGGCCATTTGATTATGAGTCATAATGTTTATATTCTACCCATGGTTTTAATGTTCTGTTGTTTTAGGAAATGTTCAGTTTAAGTCACATTACTCTATTATCAGACTGGGATGCATCAAAGCAAAATTCAGGAAAAATATTTGCATGCAATAATTTGTTATTCATAGAATTCATTTCAATGTTCATAAAGCATTTTCTTTTCTTTCACTTGCTTCCTGAAGTGGTGAAATTGACTCTTTGTTTATACTTTATTTGTATTTCAGAAGACATCACTTAGTTGCAAATTTACTGCGAGCTTTCATTTTTAGTGTTTTATATAAAACCAGTTCAACCCTCCACTAAAGACTGACCAACATGCCCTTACTAAGATGAAATGCAAAGTTGGGGGTTTGGGCACAACCCACAAATGAGTATTGACTTTCATATGAAACAGTCATATTTACACAATTTAAATGAAGAAAATTATCATTACATTTGTAAAATTTTAAACCAAGATTCACCGTTGATTGTTTACACACATTTGTCTTAAAATGGGTTTACATATTTGGTTGGTTAAGGAAATGATGAGCCAAGCCCTCAAGGATCTGCATCATATATGGAGAATTCAATGTAGAACTTTCCGTCCCCCCCCTTCCCCATAATCTTAGCATGGACAGTAGTAGGTGGTAGAGGTTACGTAGAAACATCATCGGGGAAAGTGTCACATGCTGCAGAGGCAGTCACACTTTCTCATAACTCTTGGTTTTGGGATAGATGTTTGGACAGTTTAGTACTTGTACATTGGTTCTGGTATAAGCCTAGTGCTGTAGTGAAATCATTGACTTGTTTGAGTTGTACAAGATACCTGTGGAGCTGATCTTTATGTTAAAAAAAAAAAAAGAAAAGCAGACAGTATTTTGGAAGACACTGTTGATTTCACTGGTAACAGGTTTCAGTGGTTACTTGAGTTGCATGTATTGTATGCTAGACTGACTTGACAAACTAATATTTTACTCTTTGAATATTTCAGGAATCAATCCTATCACTGGAATGGTCATTGGGGCTCCACAGACAACGGAGAGGGTAGGATCATGAGGCATTTTCCCAATGTGCACTTATAGACAATGCATTCTCCTTGCATAGAATTATGTTTTTTGATTCATGGACTACCTTGTTACAACTTTTTTCATAGTGATGAAATCTTATGTTTGCCTAAAATTGTACACACTGTAAATGTAGGATGAAATAAGTTATTCATTTGGAGCAAATTCTGAACATAGTATATTTGTGGGAAATAAGAGTATATTTGTGGAAAATAAGGTCTTTGGAGAAGATAACTTTCAAATCTGATGCATTGTTATATTGATATCCTTCGTTATGTTATATTATTTTTATTTCAGCCATCCACTAAAGTACATCATCCACCAGGTGGCAAGTCAACTGCTTTGTGGTAGAGGGCCAAGAAGAGCCAGAGTCTCAGTCTCTTGGGAGAATGGAATACACATAGGACTCATGAAAATTGAAACTCATTGTCTGTTAATATATATATATATAATATGGGACTAAAACACTATGCATTATTCTTCTGTTGAACTTGAATACAAGACAGACATGTCTTATGAATGATTTACAATATCTTAGTAAAAAAAAAAAATGAACATTTGAAACCAGTTTGAAAATTTTGAATAAAAAAACATGGGCCCACCAAGTTAAATATGACCGACAGATTGTGTAGTTCATTGAAAATCTTGTTTGAAGCAATGCTTGCTATAAACGGATTTCATGGCAAAAGCTTTGCAGTGATGTCTTATTTCATTGAAATTATTTATAGTGAGAAAAGTCTGGATGGATGTGAAAAAGATTTGAGTGCATATTTGGGCATTTAAGCAAGGTGGTTAGACACATTTATTTGAGAAAAGATGGAACTATTGAACTCTAAGAATTGATATGGACCCTTGTGATATTATTATTGGGGCTTTTCAGTAAAACTCCCCGAGCTTATGAGTAACACTTAGCTAATCCCTCAACTAGCTATCATTTCTGCCATGTTAATCTTATTGAAATCTGGTGGGACATGCTAGTAGCTCTGACAATGGGAAACGGTGTATCCCAAGTTGACCACAGACAAATTCACAAAATTTCTAATTTTTGTCAGGCATATTCATTTATGCATGTTTTGTACACAATTTCTTGTACAGTATTCAATTTGAACAAAACAAAAGTGCAATGTTAACTTAATTGTTTACTTTGAGTTTTGTTTTTCACATGTTTTGTTACCATTTAGTAAAACAGAAGTTCTTTTTGACACTCACCAGTGTAACACTCACCAAGTAAAAATCTTGTTTTGTAATATATTAACTCTCAGATATATATCAAGTGCTTGCTGCTGCATTCTTGCTGTAACCAAAACTAATGATGACTACTTGAAACCTCATTGCAATTTAGATTTATAGCTTGTTCAGAAGGAAAGTTGTAAAATATTTCTTGGAAGGTTTGGATATGTGTGTACTTCAAGACAGCTGTATTTACCTCAAGTGAGAACTGCTAGTGAAGTTAAGTCATGGGCTCTGTTAGATGGAGTAGTTTTTTAACCAACATATCTCATTCCATAAAGTCTGAATGTAGTTTTCCATATCGTTCATTCCATAAAACCCAGCTGTAGTTACTCACTGGCCATAATTTTTCCTTTCAATATTTACATAGGAATGCACTTAAAAAATTGCTGTGTGCACTTTGTTGTCCATTTGACGATATCTGTTGAATAAGTATGCTCCAATGTAATTCTCACTGACAAAGATAAAGATTCTACTGCTATTTACATGTTATGTGTCTAATATAAGAATATTTCCTTTTGTTTTTTAGTTTATTAAGAAATGGGTTACTTTGCATTTGCTGTTATTTCAGTCCCATTAGTTATTAACATTTCCATTCTGACCACATTATTGTATTGTGTTTATCGATATTCCGTATCTTCATTCCATTAGATAAATACTTCAAATAGCATTGAAGATTCTTCTTACAGAAATCTGTATTTTCAAAACTACTTTTTTCCTCCAAATATTGAGTTATGGTAGTTGTTGTGAAAAATAGACTTTTGAATGTTAATATCAAAATGCTGGCAGTTTTGTAAATAAAATTTGGATAACAGCAGATTTTTTTTGTGTGATTTGTATTGAATCGTTTTAAAAGTATCATCAGAATATTCACATTAATAAGGGAACGCAGCAGTGTAGACCCAGTCTTTACACTAATGTACTATGATCTTTATAGAATAATTTTGAAAGGAAGTTGAAATGGTGTAATTTTGGTTGGTGTCTGTGTAAGTACAAAAATACACCAGAATGTGTGCCATGATGGTCAAATAATTGACAGGTGGTGGATGTTGCAGAGAGGAACATATTCAGAAAAGCGCGACTTTTGGTATTCTTGTATAGTATTATCAAGAACCATTTCATAAGTTTTCTGTCAATGTACCCAATCTCGTGGCTGTAATGTGCATGAAATCTGCATTGGCAAAAGACAAAAATAAGAAACCTGTACATTTACGTTTAAATTTATTTGCATATTAAATAACATATTGCATATACAGATGTATAATTCTGATATAATATATGTAAACCTATTCCATGAGCTTTGCATATGATATTAAACACTGACACAGAGATGAAGATGATAAACATTATGATGACAGAAACGGTTTAGACAATGACAATGATTTGAAAAATGCACCCTGTGGGTACATTAGTCATCCAGACTCTAGGTGGTGCATGAATCTTGTTGCAGGACAACCTACAACAAAGGTTTTTTTACCAACATGGTTTATTATTGGCAAACTTTTGAACCCTTAAGCAACAAATATTGAACAGAATTAAGTAAAATATATCATGCTTTGAAGTAAGCTCCTTGCTTTCAACACCTCACCTTGAAATAATACTGAATTGTGTCGAAGAGGAGAAACTTACTTGATATTTGAGGCTGTTTAACTTGAAAAATTAACATGGCATTTAACCTTTGCTGCTTGTTACTCAGAATAACACCATTTACAGCAAAAGTTATCATACAGAACGAGATATTTCATAACTAATTATGCAATTATTTATGCCTAGAAATATATTATATCTTTTGAATGCTGTCCCCCTGAATAAAAAAAAAAAAAAGAAAATATGCTTACTGCCAGACAATTTTGCATATAATGATGTCTATTGCAACCCCACCTATTCTTTAAACAGCCAATTGTTATAGGGTTACGTCTATTGAACTTTTAAGGTCACTTAAATGAATACTGAAAACTTCAATTACATATGATTATTTGAAAATCATGAAATCCACACTAACATAATTATCAGTTAATATGTGAACTAGCTGCAAGTAGTTTGTTATTATGAACTCCTGGACCAATAAAATGCTGGGGGACTATTGAATCCTGAAGGGTTAAATGTTATAATTTCATTTTATTTCATATCCCTCTGGGGTATGGGTCTATATTACTACAGAAGTTTGAGACCTGCTCACCCTAAAACACAATTTGTACTAAAATCCATTGACAAAACTTGAAACGAAAAAGATGTTATATAAACAGTTCACATTCAACATTTAAAATTCTATAATCGTAACTGATCATCTGAGTATACTTTCAATTGCATACATATTTATTAATTAAAACTTAAACCTGTCTGCTAATTTGATTGAAAACTATGCTCTTGTTTTACTCAGAAGTGCATAAATGTATCTATATGCACTTGGTCAAACAATTTTCACATTTTTTCTCTTTTCAAGCAATGTTGACATTAGAAAAGGATGCACATTTGTCAACAAAGACGTCAAAACAACCATCGTCTAAATTCTTATCTTACTTTGAAATAATGGTTTAAGAGTAACATTCTGTAGTAATGCAATTTAAAATATCATCTAGCTGATTAACTGAAAAGCAGATATTTATGCCTAATAAATAACAAAATTTAAACAGTTGCTTAACTGAGTTTAAAGTCCTTACCTGTTCAAATCAAAGGTAAAATCAGATGTATTTACTGATAAAACATCACCTTGATTTCAAAACCTTTTATAAAAAATTAATTCATATTTGTCAGAGTACTTGAGATGCATTTATATACACAAATCTAACTAAGTATTTTTCTTTAACAATGACCACAAGTTACACAAGACAAAAATATACAAACTTGATAATCTCATAACATTAAAACTTTTTCCTCACTCTCCAACTGGCAGCGATTTTAGGCATATCAAAAAGTTGCTTTTGCACAGATATAATATTTAAACTGAAATATATGAGGAAAATGTTAACAATTCTATATATATGTTTAAGAATCAATCAGTGATGAACTGATGTACCCCTGGAAGACTGGTCAATATTTCTCATGACATAAAATATATTATGACTGGTGAGGAAAATATCAACTCCTGTATTTCATCATGGAAGAGAAACTACCAAAATGTGATAAGTCAAGCAGCACATTTAAATTAACTACTTGGAATTAACAATATTTTGACAAATTGTGCTACTCTATTTTCTATCAAACAAGAAAACAAAGGTTAATAACAAACCATACATAAATAGTAAGTGGAAGTTAAACAAAATGCAGTTATTATTATTTCCATACACCTGCCTTTTTTCTGTCAGCTGCTTTTATATGAGGGTCCCCTTTATTGAGAGCTGACTTACGGAATGGTGACTTATCTTTTGGTTTCCCCATCAACTTTTGTAAAAATGATGGGGATTTATCAGGCAGATCGTTTTCATTCACCGTAGAGAGACCAGACATCTCCAGATCATGTTTTTCTGAATCTGCAATAGGATTGGCAGTACTGATACTTCGCCGTTTGGAAGCATCAGTCACTCCTGCTTTTTTGGGTCTCATAACAACAGAACTTGTCGATTCTTCCTGATGTGGTCCTGTCTTAGTGATCGTTGGAATGCCCTTGCTTCTTCGCACACTCCCCATTCTTCGAAGTGGGCTCTCACCTACATCGAATTCTGTGCTGTTGGTTGTGGTGACTGGAGATGCTGTCTTCCTGCGGAGGCTGCTGTATGGTGCGGTGAGTCTTGAAAAAACATCGGCCTGGCTTCCGCCACTAGGCTCGGGGGTAATGGACCTTGGAGTGGTTTTCTGTGAGCCCCCGTCATACTGTGGCTGTGGTGAGGCAACTCTTGGGTGCATCTTGCCAGTTTTGGACTCGTGGGAAACTGCAGGATGTCTGGGGGATGACTTGGCTTCAGCTGCGTGCCTTGGTGACTGCTTCACCTCTGTTGTGTGCCTAGGAGAACCATGGACCTCTGGAATATCTTTCGGAGCATGTGTGACTGTTTCAGAGTGGCCATCTGGAATTTTGGGTGGACCTTTACGACGCATGCTGTTCAGGCGTGAAAAGACAGTGTCCTTTTCTTTTTTGAGGCCCTGGGATGGTGTAGCAGCACGGGGTGGCTTGGCACTTTCACTCTTATTTGTAGAGGCACTGTTTGCAGAATTGAGGCTTGTGTTAGAAGTAGACTTTGTTTTGGCACTTATACCCAGGCTTGGTCTCTTGGGGCGACCTGTTGTTGGTATAGCAGTCTTTGTTTTAGTCTGGGTGACTGGAGTTGAGGTGGTCTTCTTCAATGGTGCTTTCCGTGAGGAAGTTGGTCGGCTGGAACTATTATTAGAAGCAGTACTACCTTGAGAATGAAGACTTGCATTTGAAGCAGATTTATTCCGATCAGTATGATTAAAGGAAGAAGTTGATGTTCTTGGTGAGCGCACAACTTTTGAGGAAGACTTGTTAGAGTCAGAAGACTTATGACTGGAGCCAGAATCTCTCTTACTAGGTGTGGGTCTGTTGTGTGCTTGGAGAGTTGACTTGGTGAGTGGTTTCTTTTGAGGGACTGTTTTAGCAGGTGGTGGCTGCTTGGTCTTGGGAGCAGTTGTACTTGTTTTAGACACACCTGCAGTCTTTTTCCTTGGTGGTGCTTTTGGAGTTGGCTCCGTAGGTTCAGCAGAAACTTCTATACCTAGGCTTTGGCGAACATTTTCTGGAAGATCACTGACTTTTACCACATGTTCTACAGTCTCTATCACAGTCCACTCTTCATCTTCTGGTTTATCCTGGTCCCCATTCTCCATTCCAGGCAAAGGAAGAGTGAAAGAAGCACTGACATCTGTTGCTGAATCCAGGGAATCTCCAGTGTTTGGAATTACTGTGTCAGTCGAACCAGCAGCTGTCATACCTCCTTCATTTCTCATTTCATCATTCTCATCAAATGACCCAGATTCTAAAATCTCCTGTGACTTACGATTGATGTTTTTGTTGTCCAGCAACTCTGATTCTAAAGTACTGCTCATCGAGGTTCTCTGGGAAACTGTTTCAGATTGTGTCTCAAATCCTTCATCGTTGCTTTCCACACCATGGTAATGGATGTCAGCTTTATCATTCATTTTCTTTTCCTCTTTGTTGTCATTGATGTCTCTTGGAGAAGTTGGTGAAGTTGGACTCTTGGCCTTTTCCGTATTTTTATTCTCAACATCTGGATCATGTGAAGAGCTGGGCCTGCTACCAGTTGTAGTGAATGGAGATGGCTCTTCATTGTCGCTACTATAAAGATGAGACAAGCGACTGGACAAGCTTCGACCAATACTTCTTGCATTCCCTCTAGGGCGTGGAGTGACAGGGTCCTCAGCTGTATCAAACATATTTGGCTGCCTTCTTCTGCGGAGACTGGAAAGTATTTCATCAGGTTCTGCTTTCAGTTCTTTCAAAGCTTCAGATGGTTTGTGGTCAGGTGTGGTAGCTTCAGGTGTGTTCAAATTGTCATAAGTACTAAAGCGTTTCTCATTGGATTTACTGTCACTTATGTTTCCATTTATGTTATCATAAGTACTTAAAACTTTCTGCCTGCGTGAGGAATGTCTGGGTGAAGTGTCTTCTTCCTCTTCTTCTCCATCCTCTCGTTTTCCCCTCCAAGAAGTCGAATGTTGAAGCCATGCTCTCTCAGTCAAGCTTTCCCTCTGCATTGATGGTTTATAACTATCTCTAGAAGGAGAAAATAGTTGTGGTGATTTTGTTGGAGTGGCCTTTTCTTTTTCCATTGGGCTAGACTGAGCACGAGGTGAACCAATCTGTTCTATTTCCTTCCCTGTTTTTTCTATTGCTTTCAGGACTTGGTCTATATCAGTCTTTTCAATATTGCTTTGCCAACGTCTAAGTCTAGGTGGATAGGAGCTGGGGCGCACATCCAGTGTGCTGGGTCTATTTTTCTTATTTTCCTCTTCAACTTTATCACTGTCACTTGCATCATTCTGGACCGATTCTATTTTCTGTATCACAGTATTAAAATCAGAGCCTTCAGTGGAACTCTGTGGTACTCTTGTTGAGGATCTCTCATTGATTTGTTTATCTGTAGTCTGATTAGTCTCTTCTGATTTTGTACTGACATCCTCACCAATTTTCTCCATTGATTTTTCCTTTTCAACTATTGTCTTAAGAGCAGAGTGGAGTTCTGCAGGGTCTAAGTGTGACCTCCATCGGCGGCCCTGTCGGGCACGTCTTTCAACCACGGAATTCTTGTCAGGTGTTTCAGTTTTAGCAGTTTCAGTTTCAGTTTTAGCTGTTGTTTCAGTTTTAGCTGTAGTTTCAGTTTTAGTAACAGTTTCAGTCTGGCTGGCACTTTTTTCCTGCTGTGAACAAGTGCTACCTGTCTTACTTTCAAAGACGTCTTTAAACCTGCTCACAGCACTGCTATCAGCATGAATCTTTTTGGGATCTGGTTTAACAACTGCTGGTTCCTCAGTCTTTCTCATTGCAACTTTCTTTTCATGGCCCTTTGTTGCAGTGTCAACNGTCTTTTTCCTTGGTGGTGCTTTTGGAGTTGGCTCCGTAGGTTCAGCAGAAACTTCTATACCTAGGCTTTGGCGAACATTTTCTGGAAGATCACTGACTTTTACCACATGTTCTACAGTCTCTATCACAGTCCACTCTTCATCTTCTGGTTTATCCTGGTCCCCATTCTCCATTCCAGGCAAAGGAAGAGTGAAAGAAGCACTGACATCTGTTGCTGAATCCAGGGAATCTCCAGTGTTTGGAATTACTGTGTCAGTCGAACCAGCAGCTGTCATACCTCCTTCATTTCTCATTTCATCATTCTCATCAAATGACCCAGATTCTAAAATCTCCTGTGACTTACGATTGATGTTTTTGTTGTCCAGCAACTCTGATTCTAAAGTACTGCTCATCGAGGTTCTCTGGGAAACTGTTTCAGATTGTGTCTCAAATCCTTCATCGTTGCTTTCCACACCATGGTAATGGATGTCAGCTTTATCATTCATTTTCTTTTCCTCTTTGTTGTCATTGATGTCTCTTGGAGAAGTTGGTGAAGTTGGACTCTTGGCCTTTTCCGTATTTTTATTCTCAACATCTGGATCATGTGAAGAGCTGGGCCTGCTACCAGTTGTAGTGAATGGAGATGGCTCTTCATTGTCGCTACTATAAAGATGAGACAAGCGACTGGACAAGCTTCGACCAATACTTCTTGCATTCCCTCTAGGGCGTGGAGTGACAGGGTCCTCAGCTGTATCAAACATATTTGGCTGCCTTCTTCTGCGGAGACTGGAAAGTATTTCATCAGGTTCTGCTTTCAGTTCTTTCAAAGCTTCAGATGGTTTGTGGTCAGGTGTAGTAGCTTCAGGTGTGTTCAAATTGTCATAAGTACTAAAGCGTTTCTCATTGGATTTACTGTCACTTATGTTTCCATTTATGTTATCATAAGTACTTAAAACTTTCTGCCTGCGTGAGGAATGTCTGGGTGAAGTGTCTTCTTCCTCTTCTTCTCCATCCTCTCGTTTTCCCCTCCAAGAAGTCGAATGTTGAAGCCATGCTCTCTCAGTCAAGCTTTCCCTCTGCATTGATGGTTTATAACTATCTCTAGAAGGAGAAAATAGTTGTGGTGATTTTGTTGGAGTGGCCTTTTCTTTTTCCATTGGGCTAGACTGAGCACGAGGTGAACCAATCTGTTCTATTTCCTTCCCTGTTTTTTCTATTGCTTTCAGGACTTGGTCTATATCAGTCTTTTCAATATTGCTTTGCCAACGTCTAAGTCTAGGTGGATAGGAGCTGGGGCGCACATCCAGTGTGCTGGGTCTATTTTTCTTATTTTCCTCTTCAACTTTATCACTGTCACTTGCATCATTCTGGACCGATTCTATTTTCTGTATCACAGTATTAAAATCAGAGCCTTCAGTGGAACTCTGTGGTACTCTTGTTGAGGATCTCTCATTGATTTGTTTATCTGTAGTCTGATTAGTCTCTTCTGATTTTGTACTGACATCCTCACCAATTTTCTCCATTGATTTTTCCTTTTCAACTATTGTCTTAAGAGCAGAGTGGAGTTCTGCAGGGTCTAAGTGTGACCTCCATCGGCGGCCCTGTCGGGCACGTCTTTCAACCACGGAATTCTTGTCAGGTGTTTCAGTTTTAGCAGTTTCAGTTTCAGTTTTAGCTGTTGTTTCAGTTTTAGCTGTAGTTTCAGTTTTAGTAACAGTTTCAGTCTGGCTGGCACTTTTTTCCTGCTGTGAACAAGTGCTACCTGTCTTACTTTCAAAGACGTCTTTAAACCTGCTCACAGCACTGCTATCAGCATGAATCTTTTTGGGATCTGGTTTAACAACTGCTGGTTCCTCAGTCTTTCTCATTGCAACTTTCTTTTCATGGCCCTTTGTTGCAGTGTCAACATCTGTTGATTCAATGTTACTTCTCCATCGCCTCTCAAGGCGAGACCGTCTTTCTTTTTGCAGAGACGCATCTGGTTCTCCATCATCTGTTACTATGGTTGGTGGTGGATTGGTTGTTTTTGTGGGAACCGAGATAGATTTGGAAGTATACTTGTCAAGTTCACCATCTTCAAACCTACTTCTCCAGCCTCGTCTTTCTGGTTTCTCACTAGAGGGCGTTGTCGCTGCAGGTGTTTTATCCCCATCAACATGAGGAGATGGTGCCCTTTCACGCCCTGAACCAAATGATTCCAAGTGCCCACTTCTCCTCTGCTGCCGCTTTCGGCGAAAACTTCCAAGCCGCTCAAAATCACCCTCTGGTTTCAAGTGATTTTTGCTTGGGTCTTCACTTGCACTGAGCAAAAAGTCCAGCAAACTCTCATCGCCTCCTTGTGCTTTTCTAACACGTTTCTGGCCTGGGGTTTCATTGAGTAGATCACTCTCACTTCTATCCTCAAGACTGTCGCCATTGGAGCTCTCATCAGACATGTTGTTCTCATCTATTGCAGTCAGTTTACGTGGAGCAGAATTATGCTTTGATGCAATGTCACCTGTTCCGCTGTTAACACCAGCTGACACATTTTGGGAATCTAAGGAGATTTTGGTCACCTTTGTTACTGAGAAGTTTGCTTCAGGAAGTTTTTTGTTGTCAAAACCACTACGAATATACCCCTGTATCTGTTCCAGCGGGTTCTCATCTTCTGCACTAACATTTGCTTTACCTCCCGATGGCTGGCGACCTCTGGTGGGAGTTTCACCTGAAATAAAATAGATGCAAGGTCAGTAAAATAAACCTTTATAGGCTTGTTTGATATTAGTAGTCACCAAAATCCTTCAGTTAATTAGTCTGTTAATAGCTGTAAATATTACATTTTTAAATAACTGAATCAAAATCAAATTAAAAATTCTAACCTATTATTTGAACTAGTGTGCTGTATATGTAAGCTGCAACAACTTTAGATGGTTCCATTTTCTACTTGAGTAGACTTCAATTTATTTTATTTCTTTCAAAGCGTAACTTTTCAGTTTTTCCTTTGATATTCTTTCCTCTGTATTTGCCCCATTTTTGTCAAAAGTAATGTCAGTTTTGTCACAGTTACCTAGGTGGTCTTGTCACATCATGGGATTAATTCAGTGGACCATAACGTTAAAGTGCACTTCCATGCGATCCCAAGTTTTTGATGCACAAACCACCAACCACACTCTTTTATATCAATTTGATAGGATACTATGCATGTGCATGTTCTGCATCTGACTTTTTTTGTTCCGCTTCTCTTACACTATCTTTATCACACATGGAAAGCTAAAATTTGTTCACGGTATTCAAGTTAGTTCAATTACAAGGAAGTGTTAAAATCATTTTAAAGGATAATTTATTTTAAGTTCTCAAGGGATATTGGCATTTAAATGGGAAAAAATACTGAAAAAAAGTTTAATCCTACTTTTGTTGATGTCTTTCAAGGTGTAGTGATTTAAAGGATGGCTTTTTGATACAAGAATGGCACTTCTAAAACATCATATTGGACTAGATCACTGAAGTGGGTGGTATTTTGGAAGTAATTGATCAGCTGATTTTGCTTATCTAAATCTGTATGGAATACCAGCATATAGGTAATATTTTCACAATGATTTCACTTGTTTGGTGAAAGAACATATATGTTTCTTTAAAAAAAAACTTAAATAAAGACCTCTAAATTGCTGCTGTTTTTTTTAAATAATGATAAACTTGAAATAAATCACCAGTTAATATTTAAATTCTTTGTAAAATGAGATTGAAGAATGGGTAAAAATTACTGACAAGAGAAGTGGCATGCGCATTCACTATATGGTTTGATTACAGTCAATTTATGTGAGAAGTGATCCATGAAGTTTGTCCCCAAACCTTACAACGTCATGTCATGTTTTGCTTTGCCTTGCTTTACAAGGTCACACTTATTTTCTAGGTTAACTGTGAATTCTTTCACCATTTGAAACAAAATTAGCATATAATGACTACAAAAAGTGACAGCAAGCAGAGTTGTATAAGCCTTTGTCATCATTATGTTGTATGTTGTGCTTTTTTGTGGCACACAAAACTTTAGAGTGGCTTATTTCTGATGTGAAGTGGGTCGAATGCCACTTTAAATTTACACTACTGATAACCTTCTTTTGAGAACTCACAAACTGACACAACATTTTGAATACCTATCCAGGTATGCATTTCAGTACACTGAATTCCCACCCAGTAAACAAATTTATTTTTGTCAGCACAGCATACTTTTTCAACCCCATATATGTTCTTTCCTTTGCAATGTGTTGAATTGTTCCTATCAGCTGTTCAGCTAATGACTGTACATCAATTCAAGTTAAGGCAAAATTTCATAGCGATTTGTTATACAACTCAATTTGAACTCAAACTCCATCAGCTGTCACCATGTCAGTGACAGGCCTCATTTATTATGTGCAAATGTTCTGTTAAATTCAGCAGGTTTCAGCAATTATAGTATTAATTCAAGTGTCAGGTTATTCAATCTAATTGATTTGCTGCAACAGCGGTGACTTAACATAGGAACAGCAGGGAGAAAGAGCAGGTTGATAGATGGGGAGCATGTTTTACGCCTTCCACTCATCATTCTAGCATTCAGTTTGAAGGGCAGGAGCAATCAAGTTTCTTTAACTTGGTTTACAGCTCCCATTTTTGATTGTTTTTTTTTGGGGGGGATGGAGGGGGAAGCATGTGTTCTCTCTATTTTCTAGTTTCTTTCTGATTCCCATTTACTTAAATTTATTAATATTAAGTCAAGAGAATGCTTATCTTAAGTGAGATGAACTCTTATAACTTTTCTTCTGACTATTTTGGAAATACGTACCAGTGGGACGCTTTTTGCTGTCAAGTTCCTCTCTCTGTTTTCGTCTAGCTTCAGCTTTCTCTTCCTGAATCTTTCTCTGCTTATTTTCCTATAAAAATCAATGTATGTCATGTAATCAATTTTTATACTTATTAATTCATAAAACATCCATTTTGCATCATTCTGTGTCATACTTTTTTAAAACATTTATGCCATTAAATTAATGAAAAATATATTTTGTTTCAATTCTTGTCTCCAAAGATATTTACAAGCTATGCCTACATACTGAAATTCGTAATATGATTTTTTTTTTTGTTTGGGGGAGGGGCATTTATTGTTTCCTCAAAACTATGAACCAAGCCTCTTAATTATACCTCTATTGATTTCTTGAACCTATCACAGAAAGTGTTAAAGATCCTGAAGCACTCCTCAATCTTAAAGGTGGCTTTATCTTCACAGAAAAAGTCGCATAATTCCACACGCAGTCTCTCAATGTCCACCAAATCTTCTTGCAGTTCATGGATCTCCAGCTTGGCATCCTAAAAAAGTGTAACAATTAGTTATCTCATGAAAAGCTTTCCTAAAAAGTGTAACATATAGTTATCTCATGAAAAGATTTTCTTTTAATTCAGATACTTCAGATGTGCCATATTAAATTGTTTTAAAAGTTGCCATACACTATACTAATGGCTTGGAAAAACCTCATCAGTCCATTTTTTGTTTTGAACAGTGATGAAATGTATCTGATTTGTTTAATGATAATGTGACACTTGAGAAATTTTACAAATGGAAATAGGAGAGCAACATTAAATGTGATCTGGTATGCATTTAATTACAAAGATTAGGTTTTGTTAATTTCCTGTATGTTTATCATACCCTCAGAAAAGGAGCCATTTGTTCACAGAATTCTCCCCCTTCTTTCTCCAGTTGTTCTGATATTGCAATCACTCGGTCACGCAGTCCACTAATATCAAGAGTAAGAGATTCCAAAGATGTCCTAAAACGGAAAAAGAAAAATGTGTAAATTTCACTGGAAACTATAATACCTTTATTTGTGATTAAATAAATTTATGGAGATATTTTACAACTACAAATATATTTTGCTTAGTATGTTTCAAGCAAGGGAAATAATATCTTTTAAGATTGCACCCATTTACATAATGAATAAATTTTATAGAAATTTAACTATGAAACTGGAAAATGTTGATACCCTTTAAAAAATTAAATTTTCATTTCAAAATATGGCCTAAAAGTCTATTTTTCATTATTATTTTTTATTTATTTGATGAAACTGTCTTACTTGAAACCATTTTTATACATACAAATAGAGACTTAAAATAAATATCAATTGGGGCAAATATATATAATGAAAGCTGATTTACTTGATTGATGATGAAATTATTTTGCTTTACAGCAGACAAAATGACCAAATTGCCAACATTTGGCTTAAGTAATGGTAAAATTAGCCTGTTTCTTTTCAAATACTACAATTAAAGAAAATTGGATTAGTTTCTAGAGGGTAAAGGAAATACCTAACAATGGAAAATGTACATGAAGCCAACTTTTTCACAGGAATAGACAAGAACAATTTTTCATTACTATATCCTTTTAATTTCATTGTAATTCTAACATCATTAAGTTGTCTTCTTCTTCTTTTTAAACAGATCTTGGTAAGTTTGGCAAAAATGGTCATCGGAGTAGCCATTTTCAAGACAAATCATTGTCCATCTTATGTTACCTTATTTGTTTGTATGTACATGCCCCTAATTCTATTTTCCATTATTCAGGGATAACAATACAGGTATATTAACTGGATTGACCTGACTAAAATGGATCTTATTCCAAATTTTATTGCCACTCCTTTAGAAGTTCAGGGTTCTTCTGAGGGTACCTTTCATTGTAAGGTACCATACAGCCATGACCAAGTGGCCATATGAGTTACACTAAAACATCGGATCATATTATATCGTAAACACTGGATCAAGTTGTATCTAAGAGGTGTCCACTCAAAATAACTATCATTAGTTAACACCAATTATTGGTTTCATACACCATGCCCATTACATTGTCCTATTTGTCACTGTTTCATCCTTTGACTTTGTAATGAAAAATGACATAATGGTACCAGCACAGAATATCTGAGGCCATGCCATTCAGGAAGGACAAAAGTATCGAAAAAAATGTTAGAGGGCAAGTGTACCTTTCCATCATATCCAAATGATGTGACCATTTAATTTTCCATTTCTGCTTTAATGGTTAGCTTTTGCCTATGAAGACTTATTTTTAAAAATTCAGTTTGGTGCAACAAGACTGGTATCTCTCTATCTATCTGCCTATTAAAGGGAAATGTACAACTTATTTTTAACTCTCTTATAATACTGTCTATTAGTCATAAATGGTAGAGAGTTACAATGCCTTCTATTCATCCAGATAATATATTTTTAATGTACGAAAAACAGTAACTTCTTTAGAGTATCTACTTAAAAGTTCAAGTTTGGAATTTAATCTGATGAATTTGATGTTTTATCCTAATCTGGCGACAACGATTCCCTTCCAAAGATATCATAATACCGCAAATGTGACTGAAAATAGTAATAAACTGTTCTACACTTGGCACGAGGCATCACATCTCCCACATTCCAGATATTTGAAGAGACTTCATTACTATGTAACTTGCTATTTAACAATTAATCCACATACCTTCAAAAGATAACATTCATCTACTTGACCATAGCAAACCTTTTCTCTGTCCACAGAAGACCACTTGTGGTTAGGTGATACGTACGATCTTTGTGTGTCCAAACATATTAACTCTAGTCGAAAATAACATCTTCTGTCTTACGTTGAGATATTGATCATAAATCATCTGGCCATTTGGAGGTTTATGATAAGCTTTTTTTTCCTTTGGTTTTCCTTTTGTGTGATTCATTACTTACTGTGAGGCCTCTTTGATGTACTTCATTTTGTCAGTGAGTGTCAAAAGCTCTGGGTTTTTCTCTTCTGCTTGCTGAAATTAAAATAAATACTATTAGTGAGACCGGTCGGATAATCCATTGCCACAATTTGAGATTACAGACTCTGTCTTTCAAAAATTGTCTGAATGTTAAAAAAAATTGGTAGTTGACCATTTAAAATTATTGCTTGATTATCCAAACAAACAATGCTTGGCTTTGTATATGTGGTAAATGGAGATACAAAGATATTGGAGGAAAGTCATTCCACATGTATCAGATTCTGAGTACAATTTACTGTATATCACATTAAGTTATATGTTATACAATAAATAAATAGGGGTCTAATGACCATTCAGAAACAGTATACCATTGCTGACCAGTGGAAAACTGGACAGCCCAGTCACATAGTAAGAAAGGTACAAAGTCATTAAAAGACACCTGATCTGATGGCAGAAATAATTTGACAATGCAGCTCCACCCAGTGACAATGGCCAGTAATAGATCACGCCAATACTCAAACTGAGGTAGTTCACTGATCAGATTTCCCAATTTGATCTGGATCCATGATTTGATTCTTCTTTAAATAAAAGTTCTCTGTATGGAATGGGTGAGAAGCTTTGAGAAATCTAAACCACCTCGACTCTAGTACCTGCCCTCTTTATCTGCTTTTTTTCCAAGTTTCGTAATCCATGGAGGTGTTTTCTTTGTTCCTTTAACCGTGGATCATATGTCTAAAATGTAAGTTTTACCGACCCCTGGGGATTTCATTGTGGTTCCACATATCGAGAAACTGATACCTGATTTTAAGTGCGATTCTTGAGATTTTTGCATGCTGGTGGGTTAAAATGTGTCTATTTTTCCTCTTCATTAATTGCATTCTGTGAACTCTTTCATTGTGCTCCTACATTGCTGCTGTCAGGGTTTTTAGCTTTTTAAATTTTCAAATTGATTCAGAAAATGATTGATTATGTATATTATCAAGGTGTTGGCTACAAGCAATGCTTTTTACATGTTCCTCTTTTCATATATATTCACTCAATTATTTCCACATCAAATATCTCACAAAGGGGAAAATGCTTTTAAAAAATAGATGAACAAAGTTAAAGAAAAGACTGGAACAATTTAAATAATGTTGGCATCATGCACACATTTTCACATGTCATATACCACAATCATATATTAGCATTCATTTTCCTTATCACTATATCTATCTAAAATCCCCACTTGGGTCAATTATAATTATGAAAATGCATCTGATATTTTTCTTTAATCCATGGTCTAGTTAACCCCCATAAGTCTCAAATCTGTGAAACTGCACCTCATTTGCATGGCACATTTGTTAGACCCCATTCCCATATGTAGATCAATCTAACAGCATCGACCCATCTCCAAGGGGATTCTCGCTAAATTGCATTCAGATTAAGCAGCTTTGATGCCTGGCACGCCTACAGAAGCTGCTTAATGACAATTAATAACCTCCTAACAGCTTTAGTAAGCGTGCCAGACATCCAAGCTGCTTACACTGAATGTAATTTAGTAAGAAACCCCTTACAGATGGATCGATCCTGCTAGATCAATCTAGGTACGGGTATGGGGTCTTAGAAATTGCACAACTGTACTTCATGGTACTATGCATGCTTGATTCTGGACATAGTGTGTAAATCTTGTGTGAACAATCAACAGTCCCCCCTCCGTGATAGTCTCAGGGCAAGAAGGGTCAGTTTTTTCGTAATAAGAAAATTCCAATATTCTTCATGTAATATTTGCATAATCAGAGAGCAAATATGACATGAAATTACACTCTGCAGGGGGAGCGGGTGTCAAATTAAACTCATTGTATCAGAAAATTTCTCAGCCTTTGAAATAGTAAACAATCTTTACAAATTGTTTTAAGCTCAGAGAGTGTTAGGTGGATATTCAAACAAATTATTTGTAACATAACCTACAGGTTACTAGATTCTTGACTTTTGCTGATAATGATAATAAAGAACAAACATAACAAGCAAATATTTTAGCATTTTACGCTATATGATTCTCCATAGTAAATTATCGAGGCGTTTTTCATAACAGAACAAAAATACAGCGTCTATACAATACTCTGTTTGCTAGCTTACTTAATGTAAATTATACATTGCGCCTCATTGTGACTGAGTCAAGTATTTTAACTTGGAACTTATGTATACTAATTGCTTACTTAGCTAGACCTTTAACTTAGATAAAACACAGAGCGATGCTGAGCCAGGTGGTAAATAATGAAAAAATAACTATCGTAACAAGGACTTAATGGTGGCTTTTCCTTCTCAGTGAATAGTTGCTATCATCAAATTGTGACTTATGCTTATGCTTGGTGGGATAGCAAATATCATCTTTTATGTATTGCTTATAAAAGATCCCTTGTGGTGGAATTTGCCTTCTGGGTCTACTGGCTGGATCGTATGGGTTACAAAACTTCAAAGTAAAAATGAAATTAATTAATTTACAAGTATTTTTTGGGTCAAGATACTAAAAAGTGAGTGTTTTTCATGATCGCTACTTTTCAAAGTCAAATGAGAAAAGTGACTCTTACATGTATAAGGACTTCATTTGTGTGAGAGATCTATCACATTGGCAAAATTCTAATCAAAACATATTAGGTACATATATCTTTCTTGCAAGTATGATCATTAATTTCTCTGAGAATCCATTTATTTCTGACCTATTTGGGCCCCTACTTTTCAGAATAGCTTCTATTGTGATATTTCATGTCTAAAAACACATAACATGTCCTGCTTGCAAATGTGAGCGAGACAATAGTTCAAGATCTGTACCATTAATCACATAATATTATGGATTCTGAAGATCTTGATCACTGACAGTGTGACCTATCTGACTTAAATCTAACATTTATAAATATGATAATGATTGATAACAAGATACTAGTAGAAGCTCCTTTTGTGGAAATACAAGGGGCAATTGTTCTGAAAAAGAAGTACCTTGTTTCATAAAAGGCCTCTCACTGCTATGATCTTTTTATTATTATTATTTTTTTTTTTTCAATTTCAAAATTGTAGTTCGTTGGATATGTGGAAATCAGTGGTTATTATTGCTTTTTCTTTTAAATAACTTTTAAAGGCACCTAATATATATATAGTATGAGCCCACTTCACAGTATAAGTGCAGTTTAAAAAAGTTAGGTTTGATAAAAATTATGTAATATTCTATTCACATTTTGACTCTTAAACTCCAGGTTAGATTGTAAAGTGAAAAAATTGTTTATTTATTTTACTGTGTTTGCCAGTTACTATTTGAACTTGTGGATTTAAAGACACATTAAGTTAAGGGAGCCATGCAATTGCTCATATCTGTCTGTTTTGAAAAACATTCACCAAGTCTTTTTCTAATAGGAACATTTAAAAGTAAACATGTAAAGTGAATGTGATACCCAGAGGGTCAAAATACCTTTGGTAAAGTTGAAGAATTTGGCACTTAAATGTAATGTGCTTAGTCATTGTATATCAGAGTGTTTGGTATTGTTATGTTCATCTAACACAAATATACAATGTATCAAATAGTTACAGTTGCCCTTAATCAGAAAGAGTTTCTTATCTCCCTTTAATAATTTGCCCCACCTGTACAAAACAGTAAGAAAGAAAGGATAGCTGTAGGGGGAGAAACATATAAAACTACATTGAAGGCAGGTCAGAGAGGCTTCTTTACTCTACAAATATTTTTAAGTTCTAGAATTCAGAAAAAAACATCTTAATTTCAGGACAATAGTGCCCCTTCCCATTTGACAAACATGTTGGTTTTGTAACAAGTGTTTTGGATACCATATGATTTATTCTGAGGTAGAACAAGAGATCCTTTAAAACAAAGATATTCTAGTTGTAAGACAATAATTGAAATCATTGTTTAACCCATCCCTTATTAGTCATGGAATGCTGAAATGACTTGATTATGATGGAAATAAAGTTTATTTAGGTTTCCAGGTGTAGGGTAGTGGATTATTACTTTAGTGTCCAAACATCATTTCTACAGCCTGTTTTCTATGCAAATCCTGATAAAATATCTGTCATAAATTCCACTGAAATGCTGACACAGATTTATAAGTTCATTTAAATTGAAACAGTTACCCTGATGAAAGAATGTTTGGTAAGAAAAAAATGAGTCATCATTTCAGGTGCAATGCAGATGACTCTTACCTTCATAGATAACCCTGTTGGAAGTATTATTGCTAAATTTTTATTGTAACCAATAATTAAGCCATTTAAAAACCCAAATCAACTGAACCAAACCATAAATTGTCAAAACACCATTTTCTTCTTGGCCTCACAATTTTTGTTACCATTTTTCTTCTTGCAAGAGTGAGCCCAATCCTTTTTTTCTCAGCTGTCAGTCAACATATTGTGACAAAAGCTGTTCTTCACGATCCATTATCATCATCTCAACCAAAACTAATTAATGGCTGGGAATTACTATACTATCAGATAAAGACTGGTATGTACATGGCCATGTTTTTCCCCCGATTATGATCTGCTACAGAATCACAGTACCAAGAGGTGTATAAGCACAGCACCTTCCCATTTGTCATGGACTTCTGTATTTATTTGGTTTATAGTTTTTAAACAGCAGCTGGGTTGCTTGTATATGCATTCCTGTGGAGAATTTCATTCTTAAACGACTTATAAATCAAAAATGTCTTTTTTCATAGACTTCTCCCATATTTTCTTTCCCTGTCAAGATCTCGTTCATTTTTGAAATGAGGCAATATCTTACTGTCATTTTAAGTATGATGCATGAATGTGTCTTGTTCTTTCATATAATTTTCAAATCCATTAAGACATATAACTATTCACTAAACAGGCACTTTAATTTGTGAGAAAAAAATAGCATCTTTATTTATTCAGAAACCAATGTCTTGCTGAAAGATGAACTTTTCATTTTCTTGACAGATATTTATCAATCCTGCCTGAACTTTCTTTTGACTGGTTAAAAACCAAAATTAAATCATGACATTAAATCAGGCCCATAGCCAGCAATTCCAAAGGGGGGGGTGATCTTTTTTAAAAATAGTGGACCTTTAACCATGAAACCTTTGTAAACCTAGATAGTTTTTTATCCAGATCGTACCTTTTCCTGACAAAAAAGGTGAATAGTTCGAACCTCCTGAACCCTCATGGCTACTGGCCTGATTTTTTAAGACTACTTTTCTGAAGTTTGGATATTCATCAAAATATCATCTGTCTGATATATGAAATCCTTATACACTTTACATTTGTCTCACATCCTCGTACAATAGTGTGAATACCAAGTTAATGATGATAGAAAAGATAATAAAGGTATAACATTTCCAAACTCACAATATAGGGATATTATTGAAATGATAAAAAAAAAAAAAAAACAGGTCAGGCACCAAAGTACATACCAAGCAGACATAATGCAGTAAATTCATTCTGGGTTTGTTGGCTCTGATCTCTGTAAGCTTTAGCAAGGACGTCAGCTTGAACCCTGCAGCATTTCCAGCATAACCACCCTGAGGAAGAGAATATGGAATTAAATTTTACAAACAAAAATGATTTATTTCTTTATTTTACAGTATTTTGAATCTTTTAACGCATTAAACTAAACATATTTCAATAGGTAGAAAAATCTGAACTTGGTGGAAATCATTCCTATTATCTTCTGCAATGAGCAATGATAAAATAAGGCTTTTATAAAGAAGAATTTTCCAAGTAGTTTGAATTTTATTGTCAGGCGAATTTTCTTGTGTGTTGTTAAGCAAAACAGTCTAAATCCTGTTTTTTACTTTTCACTTACTGAATTGAGAAAATTGCCAGCTACCAGCACCAAATAGAGGATTTCATGGAGGGTTTTACATTCCTTCAGTTCTGAAATAAACCAATATAAACCTCTGTTTAATACATATATGCACCTGTAAATAAATATTTCACAGTACAGTGCTGTGTTTTTTTTTACTTTGACTGCATTGGTGTGTTGTGTGTGTTGTGTGTGTGTGTGTGTTTTGGGGAGAGAGGGGGCATGTATACAATAAAGACTTGGGGAGGATACAGGAACAGCAACAGAGTTAAATTTTGGCATGCCAAATTGAACATGCATGTGACATGACCTGTCATATGCCACAATTCATAGCAAACTACTAAAAAACCCTTAAAAAAGACTTAAATATCTCCATGAACCACTGATGCAAATAATAAGATACTTCATCCTTCTGCTTCACCTTTAAGGTAAGCACTCCCTTAAATATTAAATAAAAAATTCCAAAAGGAACTTCCTTTACAATATTTTCTGTGCACTGTCAGAATTAATGAAAAATGAATCAAATGATGTGAAAGAATAGGATCTAGGGAGGATGGCTAAAAGTATTTACTCTCAGGTAAACAACAGGGTGGGAGTTATCACTGGGAAATGACAATGCATCAAGGCTTTAATTCGCAAATTTATTGTATGAAATCCCATCTTTTTACTAAGTTTGGGCGTTTTACGGAAGTGAATCATTTCTGAAAAAAATAAAATGGAGATTTGTACTAAAAGCACACTTTAACAAGCGTAATTACTACTTGTAAAGAGGTGTAAAAATTTGTTGGAAAAAAACATTTGTTATCGTGTTTGTTGTTATTATCTGTGAGTCAACCTCACCCACAGGGCTGAAATATCATAAATCAACTTGTCCATTGTCACCTCGGGCAAAGGAAAAGGAAAAGGATGATGTTTCACTTGGAAAAATTGAGCAACGGATGAAAAAACAAAATCTGAGGTAAACCTGAAAGTGCAAACGGGAACTTTTATCAATAACTGAAACCATTCATTTTCACACCTACACTATTTACTTTTAAATGACCCCAATTTGATGGGACTATTAACTGCTGAAAAACCTACTATTTTGTGTCAATTTGGCTCATATATCATATATTCTGATAAGGTCTGAGGGCCAGAGGTATGGTTATGTTGGGTTTACCTGCAACAATAATACTTTTTAGCAGATTGGTCTTACTATAATCATCATTATATCATGGGCTATCATTACATTGGGTGGGGCAGTCTATTTTGTGCACTGGTGATATTATTTGTTTAAAATAAATCAAAATTATTTAGGCATATAAAATTCTGCCATATATTTACCATCTATTTTTAGGGGCCATTATGATTTTTTGCTTCGATGACGATTGTGCAATTCTCACTTTCTCTTCGAGGACTCGTCGCATTCATCACATTAGTGTCACTCAATAAAATGGCACATATCAGATTGACAAATTCATACCATATTTTTCTTCTAGTGTTTTTCTGACACATCATGTGTCAAAGCTGTCATTATGGATAAATTAACTACAAATTCATGATCAATCTTCTTAATGTGAAGGCATTACAACATTCTTTCCTAAAGCACAGACAGCCAATGCTAATGTGAGATTCTGTAGTAAAAAGAGAAAAGTGTCTGTTTGGATACATTCAAAAGTATTCGTTTTTCAATTTGAAATATAAAAAAAACATGAGTCAACTATCATGCACATTCTTCAGATAGAAAAAAATACCATCCTACACCTACAATGTACACAAAAGCCTGCAGTATTTGCTGAATGTGTCATCAAGTATTTTCAGACAAAAATTCTAAATTGAGGATTTTACAATAAAAAAGTGACTCATAAGTTTATTGCTGTCAATGGTAAGGTAAATCTTCCTTCACAACTGACTTCTTGATCTGTTATTTTTTTTCCAATCTGCAACATTTAACTTAGGAAAAAGCTGCATGCTTGGAAACAATATGCATCCCACCTGTACTTACGAAATCAGTTTATTCAAGACCACCAGGTTAACGAAAGACAAAAAAAGGAATGTCGCTCTGATACTGGATTCCTGTCACTCGCAGCACTTAACTTGGAAACAGGAAGCCAGGATTTGGGATGTTTTGTAGCATTTTTGTTGTTCTGTTGATGTTTTGCCAAGTGTGTATTTTGGTTAAAGAGGTATTTCCACTGGGAACTAAATTGTTATGAGAATGCATATTCTAAACATCAATATAAGCATATTTTCTGAGCATACAGCTAATATTTTCAATGTCTTTTAGACAGAATGTGCACAACTCTCCCAGCTTGAGAAAATTATAATAGTGAAATATGGGTAAAGAAAAATGTATTATTTTGAGCATTTGTGCTCGGTAGGCCCCCTACGCTTAAAGAGGGTAACACAATGCTCTGGGGGGACAAAACCATCTATTTTCCCAGCATTATCCGTTATTCCTTAGGAAAATGTTTTCCCACCACCACCTAATGAATAATCACTCCATTTGAAATGTTTATCCAATATTATATAAGCCAGTAGCACAGGGCTGTCTGCTTCAAGGCTGCTTATGAAGAATTACCAGTTAAATAGCATACCTTAACCCATTCAGTGAAGTGCAGAAATGTGCTGATATTACTTCTATTTCCATAATGATTTCCTATGAACAAATGAACAGGTGTAGAAGATGCAGATCAATTTCAGTCCCAAAATCTAGTTTATTTGTACTTCATTCTTTCTCTTCCTTTCAAGTAAAAAAATTGGACAAAAGGCACTGGACCTTTCTGCTTTATTACCTCCACCTTTGGTCATCTGCTTTGTGACTTAACACTGCAGAAAAATCAGGTTAATATCAGACCTTAAGTTGTTCATTCCATGGACCATTATGTTTTATTATGTTTGTTAGCAAAGTTTGAGGTTGCTAGGGGTTAAGTTAAATCACTATTCTAAATTCTTTTATTTTGTTTAATTAGCCAGAGGCATGTTACTACTGCAAATTTGCCAGTAGGGTGATAATATTTTGTGTCACAACAAACAAAAAATATAAGACACAGGGCCAGTAAAGCTTGGGGCTTAAGTCAGGACTTGGGTCAGGGAAAGTAAAGAGTGACCAAAAGTCATTTCTTTGCTTGATCACCTAAATGTAATACTTTCAATGGCGGCCTTGCAAATAGTCAAATACAACCTGCTGGTGATATTCTCATTTCATATTTAATGTGTTTCTGTATAAATATATCATACTTTTACGCAGTTGGTGGTTGATTCTATATATATAATGTGGTCATGTTTATTTTAAATGGATATTGCAGCACAGTAGCATTTTTTCCTTTTAGGCTTAGGTGAAAGGCCACCATTGCACAAAAAGCAGTTTCAGTTTTATAGACAAAGAAAGACTTTCATTTTAACTTAACCTCTCATCCCCAACCCACATTCATTACAATAGCTACATACAAGGTATATTTATTAGACTATAAATCACATTCATCAAAAAAACACTTGTCAAATGTCATATTATATACATGTATATGACCAAATGGAATGCACAGTGGAACTGTTTGCTATCTGGTCATCTCGTGTGATGTCAAGTGTCCAAGCACGTTACTGACCAGTCCACTGGCTTGAGGCCACACATGCGGAATGTTGGAGTGACATGCCACGTCCAGAATATTGTTAATTTTCGTATTCAGCCTGCAGAGGATGGTTCTATGGCTTGTTGAAGAGATTGTTTTTACCCGACTTAATGAATATATATGAAATTGATTAAAGGAAAAAATGTGGAAATGGAACAGATGATATGCTGTGTAAATATGAAGACTAGGTAACTAAAGAGGTGGGGAGAACACTGTGCGTGCATATGTTCTTGTGGATATAAAGTGTAAAAAGTTCAAAATGAAGTGAAATAAAAAGAATAAAATGCAGAAGGATAATGCTCTTGAATAAAGTGTTGCCACTTTTCTCAAAAAAGTCTGATTCATCTTTTTAGTATTCTTCACTTGAAAAAATTCCATACAACTACTGTCAACCATGACTTACATAACTGAATATAATCGGTTGTTCAAATCTCCAACGACACCTGTAGGGTATCAAGTTAAACATACATATTTACTTAAATGTGTATTATGAGAGCTTAGAAATGGTAGCATCATGTTACCAAGTTGTAAAAGGCATTTCAATCCTTTGGCATTTCAAATAAAAGACACCTACCTTTTGCAGCCATGATGACTGCCTCTATAGAAGGTTTGATGTTGTCCATGTTGTTGTTGAATTCTTCCCTGATCAGCAAAGATTCTACACGAAGTCTGTAACTGTAATGTAAAAAAGAAATATTTTATCTTTTAGTCAGTGAAATGAACCCTACAGATCATGCTGAGATAAAAATTTTATTTCTCATCAAAATAATTTCATAAATTAGATAATCTCATGTTTTTCACTTCTTACACTCAGCCCAGACTAGCAGAAGCCATTTTACATGGTTTACTGCATTTATTCAACAAAAATTAACCATCATCAACTTAAAGCATCCAAGTTAGAATTATTATGCATCTAAAACATCAATTAAGAGTTTCATTTCAAAAAAGAAGCAACAAAGTATTTCCAGCCTGAGGCTCAGACAAATAGGTACATTCTATAACTAAATACATCAAATTTCAGTGTGTAAAAAGTGTAGGATGTCAAGTTTTCCTATTTTGCTGATATAGGCCTCCGTCACACAAATCCTGCCTGACTATACTCTCACAGCTCTGGGAGTATTGACTGAAGCATATCATACTGCAATCAAATTTTTAACTGATTGCAATCATCTTTTTCAAAATATGTCAATTGTAAAATTATACTTTTGAATGGTGGATAAAACTGCACAGTGTTCACATCTAGAATTTGATTAGGATTCCCTTCAAACACCCAATGCATTACCCACTGAACAATTATCGAAATTGTCATTATTCACTATATAAATTTTTTAATCAGTTTTTCAGACCCCACCATTGGAATAAGAAATGAAGCAATTATTAGATAACAGACCAATGCAAAGTTTCATCCCTGAGCATTCACAATGTAGCAGGACAGGCTCGGGGCAGAATAGCACCATTCAAAATAGCGGTCTGTGTGAATGCGTCCATGGAATTCAGTGAATACTGACTGGGAGTCATTAAGGCAGGGGGAGGTTATGTCGACACTGTGGGATAGATTGATTGTTGAAATGTTCAACAAGGTAACAACAGTATTAACTAAAGTTATGTTTACAGAGGAAACAGCCAAATACACTGAAACTATGCCTGAATATCTTGCCTTGGTTTGGTATGTGCGTCAGGTTTTTGTGTTCTCAATCGGGCTTGGGGGTTAAACACCTGATTTTATTCATTTAAAAGTTTTATTCATGACAAAAGCTAATTTTAATGATATCAAGCTATTGCAATATATTTGAATGCTAATATTGTGTACTTTTCAAACTTAACTTTTTTAGACTAAAACAACATGGGGCACATGTTTTAAACTGTTATTTTTAAATCTCAACCTGTCAAATACTTGGATAAAACCACAAAAGTTTGAATAAACACTGATGTATGTGTCTCTACCCTCCTCGATGGCCAAATTAAATGTATAAAATGCATAATAATAAAAAGTCATCCTCTTTATGGTACCTGAACTCTTTTATTTGAGGTGTGATGAAATAAACTCTTCATAATTCTGTCCAAAGACTATTTTAGCATTTTCCTGATTTTCAGATACAGCTTCAACTGACCACAAAAATTGCAAGAGGAAATAAAGTCAAAAGTAACGTTTCAAATGACCCAAAGGTGTGAGATCGCCAAACTAAAGAGATTATAAATGGGTTGATTTTTTACAAAGTACTTTATTTGATAGTGTCATTATTGGTTTTATGTTCAATGTTTTACTGTCTTTTCTACCTGAAAATTGACCCCTATAGCTCATCAAGCTCGTCCTATGACGCACATAGACACAGAAACAGTACTCTGTGTGACATAAACATCGCAAAAGTTCATCAAAACACTCCGAGACCGGCTGATAAATGATAGGTGGGGTGGCCGTAGAGTCGCAAGAATAAAACTTTCTCCTTTGTTTGTGTACATGGTAAAAGATTATCAGCATCTAAATTTGCCTGACATATTGCCCCCTGTGGAACACATTTTCTTAGATCACATCAGCTGATAAATTGCATTAACAATGCATCTGAAATGACTTCTTGCAAACATGTATTTTATACCAGGACCCCCACAACGCCATAAGAACTTATTTTAACTGTGATATATTGTTATTCAGCAAATTGAAACATTGTTTATTACAAATGCAAAAAATAGTTTTTGGGTGGGCTCCCATTAAAAAGATATATTCTTCTTTCCATTAAAATTACATGTTGACTAAATTTCCTATTTTAAGGTCACCTCTAACCCCTATCAAACTGACCTTTCTATTATATCTGAACAAAAACCAAGCTTTTACCTACCAGGTTGTAGAATAGAATTGAGACATTTTTAACTTGAAACATTCAGTTTCTCTGATTAATATCAGTATCAGTTGATAAAAATACCAGTCCTCTCTCATTTTTTACTTTCTTAATAACTGACATTTAGTGCATGTTTAATAATCTATCATAAATTTTGATTAAATAAACTGTCATCTTCTAAAATAAGTTTTTGTTCTAGACTACCCCATTGTTCTATCCAGAGCTAATTCAAATTTATATGGAAACTTCACCTGGCAGGCAGCTATACACACTCCAGCATCATGCCATTGGAATTACCTGTAGGCACTCTTATCCATGTTCTGCCCCTCTTATTATTGCCAGGGGCCTAAGCACATTGAAAATGCTACTACTTTACCCACTGTATGGCCAGTGATGTTTATCATATTGAGCCCTAACTGTGTATTAATTATTTATATTAAGGCCCGAAGCGAAGCATCTCGGCCTGTGCTTGCTGACAGAACACACAACTGTTGCTGTATCCTCCAGCTAAAGCTGGGATAATGTGCTTCCAATGTTCCCTTTGCTATGAATGAATAATGAAGATGTTGGTGGTGTATATGGTCAAATTACTTTGTTTAAAGTATAGAAAGAATCAGACTGTAAGCCATTTTTGTAAAGAGTAAAGTTAAGTATTAAGTGCTAAATTCTACTCTTTTCTTAATTCTTACTGCACATATTAAATCTGACTTTCACTTTCTATGTGATCTTAACAAAATTAATGCCCCTGTATTACTGACAATTTACAAGCCAAACCTGCTAAATCATCTTAAAACTTTTCAGAACAATTATTTGAAATCAATATAGCTGATAAATGACTTTTTTCATAAGACAACCTTTTTTCATTGGTCATTTATATATTCTTATTCAAGACAATCTTGCAATATTAATTTAATTAAGAAACACCTTCCTTCTCAGTGTTAATTTGTCTGCAATTTGCCTTGAGAGGCAAGTCAGGTGTAATATGTAGACAACAGGTGTAGTGCATAAGACACAAAATTCCAGCATAGGACTGTTGCTCCATTCAATATAATAAGTTAATTTGTGCTGAGTACATTGCACATTACACTTGATGTAAAATCCTTACGGCACCTCATTCTTTACCAGTCTGACAGCAATTAATAATTCAACTATTATTCTTTTTTTGATTGATTCTCCTTTTTTTTTGCTAGTAAAAGAAAACAGCTGCTTGACTATAAATACATGTATGTGTGCTTAGTATACATTGTGGTTTCAATCTTATATAAGCTTGGCCTTACACCTTAGACCTAAAATGGGCTTTTGGTTGTATTATTTATCTTTTTTGTGTCCCAAGTGGCTTGATAAAGAGGTCAAATCTAAGTATTAATTGATCTAAAGCATATGTCACAAGCTGTGAATTGATTGCAAGTATACAAATATGTTCTACATCCAGGGCCCAGATCAAAAATTACACCTCTAAATCAAGATCCAAATCTAACAGGGGGATCTGTTTTCCAATTTCTCCATTACATGTTGAACATGCAGCTTATTGTATGTCTCCTTTGTTCTGCTGCCAATCTATTTGGAAAAGCAGAAAGAAGAAAGTATTAATCTGCACTTATTTTCGAATAACCCTATCAGTCCATCTGTCTGTATCCCGCTCCTTACTTTAGACTTGTCTCTCTGAGCAACAAGAAAAATGTAACCTTACCTAGGTAGAGTCAACAACTGCAGGTAAAATTTTTCCGCATTGCCTAATTTCTCTTTGTCCCCATCAAAAGTCCTCAGCAATTCAATCTGCAAAGTGAATTAAAAAGGAAAAATATAAAAGGAACAGAATCCTTTCACAAGGGGAATTTCTTGATGTGAATTGCAGATAGATATAGACCATTGAATGCCATATGACAGATCTTTTGTTGCAATCACAATGATTTCTTATGGGATGTGTGTGTACCATGAGAAAAGTGATATGCTGAAATTCAAATAAGACAGACATGGGCAGCGTAGGGGTGATCTTCTTTTTCATTATGTCTTGTTTGATGTTCAAACAGAAGTAAGGAAGTCCAGATGGAATTTCAGGTACCAAAATCTCAAACTACCAATTCATCCAGTCTTAAATTGAGTAATTAAAAAACCCCAAAGAAGATTATTATTCTTTGTTTTCAAAATTTTAAGTTTTGATACATTACATAGCAATAGTGCAAAAGTAAAAAGAGTTGAGATCATAGAATAATATGGCTATACCTCATCGCTATTAGGTAAAATTTTAAGCAGGCCTCTCAGTTTTTCTGCCCCAATCCTGTCACTTGCCCCCTCCTTAAGTAACTTTATAATTTCATCATGTGGAATTCTGAACTGCTTTAGAAATATGTTGATATTCAGGTTTCTCTTGCTATCCAGTAAACTGATCTGAAATGAGAAAATAAGAAAGTAGATATAATTCAAGTACACGCTATCTTGTTACACAATATCTGTATGTTTTTATTGCAGATGGAGCTCACATGCCCTGGGCACCCTCTTTAACTTGTCCTAGACAACTTAACTATATTACTCATGGCTACATGAGGAATGAAATTATAAAGTAACATTTTCCCTATCAGTCTATGTGCCAAGGGCATCAATGAATGGGTAAATATTTCTTAAGAGACTCATTTGCAAGATGCTTAATCAATACCAATAAGCCTTAAAAATGCATTATTATTTTAAAGTTGTTTTTTTCATGGAATTTTTGATGTAGCAGCATATCTTTTGTTTATTTTTATGTTAATATTGACAAACTTTTGTGTTTAAAGGCTTTATGTATGAAAATTTGGTCACTTTTCACTAATTTTCAGTAATAAAAACTCTTGTCAATATATAATTGTACCAAACCTTAATTACTAAAATTTCCAAAGCACTGCAAAATGCCAGAAAAGTGCATGCAGTAATCAAACAAAAAAGTTACCAGCTACAAATTGACCTTCATGGAATTTATACAGAACTTGATACACATTTAACAATTCATTTGCACAAAAATGCCAAGCACTCAAATAAAGTCGGGACCCTTGTTGGTAGGGGCTACATTTAAATAGAAAAAAAAATAACCATTAGCCATCATAATTAGATAAATTCTGATCTTTTGCCTCAGAGAAGATGTAATATACTCATCCTTTTTTATGCCATGTTTGTATTGGCACAGCTACAAGCAAATAGTCGGAAAAAACACTTTCATCCCACCTACAAAAAATGTTTTCACCTGGGAGTTTATTCAACTGTGAACAACCCTGCAACCTTCCAAAATGTCTGAGCAAAAAAAATATGTGAAATACTCATGTTGTGCGATCTGTGAGTAACCCTCAATGTATAATCACCTACGCAAGTTGGGTTGTAGCTGCTTAACTAATTTCTTTGTTGCCATGTTTAGCCCATAAAAGAAGAATTTATTCAGTCAACCAAGCACTTAGTATTGTGCCTCTAGATTTTATGGGTCTTTTAATGTTACTGCTGTGATTTTGAAAAGATTTAAAGGTTCCTCACATTTTGCATTTTGTTATCAAACCACAGGACTATGAAAATGTGCACAGAGACAGGTACAAATGAGCTGAGGCCACTGGAACAAAACTGCAACTGCCACCCTCTTCTTTGGGGGTGGGGGGGGGGGGGGGAGGGTGAAGAGATGGTGGAATTTTTTCTCATAAAACTCAACAGGCAGCTTTTTTTTCTTGTTGCCTTTGAGAAAGCAGTACAAAAATGGCAATTTCCATAAAATAAATCTTTAATGAAAGATGTGTTCCAAAATAAAAATATGACCTAAAATCAAGAAAATAAAGCATATTCTGAATTTCCCTGATGTACTTATACACCAGAGCTTGTAGATAAGCAGATGCACGTACAATGATTTTAGCATTAGTAGCATACTACATGCAAAAATCATATATTTGTGTTAAAATCATGCTCCACTTTCTGACTCATCAATAAACATACATAAATAAAGAATGTCAGGGCATATTACCAGAATAATATGGCTATATTAAGACTGATATATCCAGGTCATCCCACATCATGTATTATTCTTATCTTTGAGTCATTTTACTGTCATACTAAAATGCTACAATATATCAGTAGATTGCCTGTACTCAGATTAAGATGATGCTTGTGTTTCCAATTTATAGTAGTCCCTAAACTGTATAGCATTCAGTACAGGTACTTACACAAGTAACTTTACTAATATGTCATGATCATTGTTTTTTCTATACACAAACTTAGGGACCATTCCCATACCCTATCATACTAGCAGGATCGATCTATCTCCAAGGGGTTTCTCACTAAATTGCATTTAGTTTAAGTATGCACGAAAGTTAAGTGGAAGTGACAGACATTTAAGTTGCTTAAACTGAATGCAATTATGCGAGAATCCCCTCAGAGATAGATTGATCCTGCTAGTGTGATAGGTTTTATAGGAACCCAGTTTTAAAGAATATATGTCTTATTTGAAACTTCCGAATAAAGCAGTCTTACCTCAGTTTCTCTTTTCTTCTTCTCTAAGGTGTTTGATGGAGAATTAGTCTCTTTAGTCCCCTGAGCAGAGGGAGGCTTATGAACCTGCTGGCAAAACAACTCTTCCATTTCCTCAAAGTCTACTTTGTAGCCATTAAACATTTGTCCAGCTTGGGTCCATACATTTTTAGAAGCAACCACACGGTTGACAGGAATTTTCTGCCACTGAAGTTTCTTCATTTTAGACTTTGGGGCAGGAGTCTGCTGCTGAGGTAGAGTTATTTCTGGTCCACTTTTTATTAGGCTCCCTGGTGGAGGGGGTGGTCCTGGCGGAGGTGCCATCCCTGGGGGAGGTGGAGGTGGGGGAACACCCCCTGGTCCAGGTGGGGGAGGGGGTGGTGGAATACTGTGAATTGCACCGGGTACAGGGGGTGGGGGAGGTGGGGGTGTTCCCATGTCCTGGAGGCCTATTGCACCTTTTTTATCCGTATCCTTTAACCGTGGCGATGCCACCGTAGACTCCGACTGACTTTCAGTTCGGGATCGATTCCCTGCTGCATCAGATTCATCAGATCCCTGTACGGCCCTCTCCAGCCGTTTGTAGCCAGCTTTGAGTAATCTCTGTGAGTCCTCTGTCTTTTCCAGCAGCGTGGCCCTGTAGACCAATTTCTCGATGGTGTCCCACACCACGTCGCTGATGGTGTCTGTAGGGTCAATCTGGAGAAGGTGCTGTAAGGTGGCCAGAAAGGGGAGCTCCTGAGGGGTGCCACTGACCTGAAGAACAGAACACCAGATATATTAATAATTAGTTAAACATTAACTGCTGTATATGTCTAGATACAATTATTGAGAATAGGATTTCGTGTCTAATGTTAATATTAGAATCTTTGACTTGCAATGAAATCAATTATTACGATTTGGGGGATGGGGACCTCCCCTAAGAAGTCATTATAAGCTGTATTGTTCATAATATTCCAGAAATTCAGATATTCTAGAAAAAGAATGTCTAAATCCATCTTTTTGTTTTTCAATCTTATCTGCAGTTCTCATTTAAATCAATACATGATTTTCTTTGTGTTATTACAAGTGCAAAAATATGAGACACACAGAAAGACAAAAACAGGTGCATATATACTAAGAAGCACACATACTAAGAAACGAACAATGCATTTTTCCTGAAACTGCCTTGAGGGAGTTCTTAATCTCAGCATCACAGATTACAGTATAAATAGAACCAAATTCTGAACAATTTTGACCCAATGGCAATAATTTCCAGAAAGGTTCAACAATATACTAAAGCAGCTATATCTCTCAATCTGTAACCTTGCAAGATTCTTACTAATGTGCATAAAAAAGAGAATAACATTCATATGGCAGTCTCTCAACACATAGCCTTTCAACAAGATGAGAATGAAAATAGCTAGTTTTCAGCATGCTGTGATGACTGTTGGAATGCAAATATCAATCTGATAAAAAACAGCACTGGTGAATACTTGACCAAGGGAATAACATGGAAGTCTACAATGTACCATTACTAAATATGATCAACTATTGATCTGAACACAAATTCCTATATCCAGGAATTAGCTCAGAAAATGGAAATTTTCCCAAATGAAGTTCAAGAAGCAAACAGGAATAAAAGCGATTTTCCTGTAATGCTACATGCTCTGTGCATAATCCTGCTGAAAATGTTTAAATTTGTGCATTAAAATCCAAAAAGGACACTAATCCATACCTTCTAGAATCACAAAATCCGTCTCCCCCATTTTACATATAAGTTTGATATTTCATTCTTTTCCAGTTCAAAGTGAAATTATACTGAAAATTAAAAGCTCACCAATGATCAAACCACAGCCGTCTCAATCCTGGCTTGTTTTGAGTAGGAATAACATCTCTACTGTCTGAATATTTTTAGAATTAAAAACACCACCTCTTCACACCTACATCAGCACAAGTCATACACAGTCCTGGATACAGGAGATTTTTCTCTTTTCTTTGTCCTGGGTACCACGAAGAGGTGGAAGTGAAAACTGAGCTGACCAGAGAAGAGTTCCAGCACAGAAAGGTCAGGAAACGAAGAACCAAAAATGCCACAAACTATAAACACATTCAGATGCTAGTCCCTATGGTTTACACCTTTTATGTTTGGTGGTTAAAGAAAAGAAATAAATCTCTGTGTCCTGATCTGTCCTTTTAGAGTGTTGGTTTCCCTACAAGAGTGGGAGAAGAGAAAATATTTAACTTTTATACCTTTAGGCTTCAGCAAAAGCCCTGGGAAGACAGATGTTGTGGTTCTCTGACATGCATTTAAATATCAAATCCACAAGGTTCTGGAGAAATAATCAGAACACTGTGCCTTAAAGCTTCTGCAGAAATGATCAGAGCATCATCCTCCGTAATTTGGATCAGTCTAGTGTCTGACTGAATTTAATTATCTCTATAAACTAACACCCACTAGTCTATAATTGAGGAAGTGTGCTGTGCATTCTTGCCTGTGCTGTCTGTGAGTGAAACACACAATGAAAGCACTGGAGAACTCTGTTTTAACTTATAAATCTTAATAAATCTATAACATGTCATTTTTCACTTTAATCATGAAATTGCAAATTTGCGTTACAAGAAGATTATGCCTATATACTAATACAAAATGGTGATTTATACAACAAGGTTAAAGAAGTGCTGCAGTGCACAGCTACTACAAAGTTGTACTTTCATCAACTGCCTCTTTGAGAGTCTACACCAGTAATTTATCATCATTTCTGAATTATAATTAAATTGATAATGGTCTAGTAGAATGCTCAGATTTCTATAATGACCAACGTATAAGAACATCAGATGGATTTTACCAGGTGAATCACTGATGATAAGAACATCAAATCCCAGGTGAAGGGGAAGAGACTTAACTTAATTGCCTTACAGACAGGAAGCACTTGCAGAGATTGGGGAAGTTACACTGCCAAAAACACAGAGAAGATAATCACATCATCAACCATCCACCAGACTTGTTTGTATACTTCAGTCAAACATGCTCGTCTTGCTCAAGTCTGATATAACTCAGCAGATGAGAGTGAAGATATACCTAAAATATAATCCTGTTTGGTTATCATTTGAACAGATTAGCAGAGATCCATCTCCCACTTACCCAGCTAGTACAAGACTGATTTTCCCAAAACAAAATAAAAGGCTTTAGGGCCTATGGATCCAGGTCATCGTGATTCTTTTTGCTCACAACCCCCCCCCCCCCTCTAAACACAATTAAGCATGTTAATGCAGCATAAAAAGCACCCCAATCAAGAGATTTAATTGCGCTAACCCTTTTTTTTTACTTTTAACAAATCCAAGCTATTTTGAACCAGCGCTGAAATTTAGCTGTTATGCGACTTTCCTATTGTATAATTTACTTTGACCAACTGGTCACCCGGCTACCATTCCGTTCTGCCAAATTCTTGAACCAGCAAGCTCGTATTGTTCGCGTGTTTTTTAACCAATGCACACCTTTCCTTTTGCTTATCACCGCTGGCCAGTAAATTAAATCTGACCGAGGTCCAGCATTAAAAACTGCCCCCTCCCTAAAGATCTCTTATAGACGAACTACGTAACTAATGTGCGAACTATTACGAACCCTGTTGCCGACTTCCAGACAATGAACTATAGCAAGAATGCCGCACGGTTCAAACGTCTGAAACATCGTCTACTCAGCCCGTCTACTTACGTCCTTGCCAGGTAGTCCTCTGAAGCAGACTCCGGGACTTGCCAATATTTTACCTGTAGGCTGCCTGGTGTGATTTGCTCTCTGATAGCCTTGCATATGGTTCGAACTATCACTCCCAGGCCGGTGCATTTCAAGTATGCGTGAGCGATTAGTTCAAGGTAACCAAGAGGCTCAAACTCCTACCAAACTGAGTGGCGGCAACTTCCCGATTCACTGACTAACAAGTATTTTGCAAATGCAAAATTTACCACACAGCGCATTTTTACTCAAAATGCACGCTGTTGCTTTTTTCTTTCATCCATTTAAAGTCTTTTTTACGAAATTCAAAAGACTTTACGTTATCCAGATCGTAAATGAAATGGATTGTTTGTTTATTTCCAAACATGTAAAAGTTTCGCAGTGCCTACCTGTGTATTTTTCCCATTCGAGTCGTCCATAGACCGAAATGCAATATCGAGCATGACTAGAGAAACTAAGCTTCAGAGCTGCAAGATGCGCCCCGCTATCGCTCACTGGCTCTGGCTCACTACCGGAAAGATTGATTTCAAGTGAAATACAGTGGGTACAAAAAGATTAGTGAAGCCAAGCCGTGGGAGCCAACATTAACGAGGCGTGACAGTAGGCCTAGCGTTTTGCTGCTCGTGTATTTATTGCAATACATGTTGGTAACTTTTGATACGATTTAAACGTTTCGTCCTTTTTTCGGATTCTAACAAATGCAACATCATTATAGCTGCTTTCTTATCTTTTTCTTTAACCCCGGCAAGAAATACTAGCACGGATTATATTTAGACCCAAAGTTATGTAACCCAAACAAAGTTTGTTTAGTATCAAAACCATTAGCTGGTTTATAAATGTGTGTGAAATGTGAGATTATCAAAAAGGGCAACAAAAAGTGTGCTAGAATCTGACAAACGTACTGATGCAGATGTGAAGTTACTCATGTTCACTTACAGCTACTTATTTTATAACCCATTTCGCGGTTACTAGATATAATTACATTTTTTTATTAGGCCTAGTGATATAGTTGCTATATTTATGTCTTTATTTACTTCTAGTTGTGTAAACATACAGTAGTATTACTATTATAAGTTCTATAGACAGCCAACAATGTTAACATGTAACATTAAAAGCTGAATAAATTATTATCAGTTATCATGTTTCATCGCCACAGATCCACCTAATGCATACAGTGTTATGGCGATGAGTGTCGTGAACTGTCGTGAACTCCCTTTCATAATACAGCCTACACACTAGCCTACACCCGGCTTTCTTTTGGTTTGAGACATGTTCACATATATTGCACATATATTGCAATTGGAGTAAACAAAGTTCAGTGACTTTATTGTAAAGATAGCAGTCAGGGAGTCTGTCCAATATCTACCTCGAACCACATCTCGGCGTGCAGGAATGATAACAACAGAGTAAAGTTACTGGCAGGATAACCGCATAGCTTCAACCGTGAACGCCCCGATTTTCAAAACCGGCCAACTTGAAACTAATTCGACAACGGTCGACAACAACCCCCAGTTCGTCCTGCCGTTGTCTTATTCAAACAACGTCATTATGAAGACGTGTTTTGACAGACTACGTCCAAAAAGATGAAGATTCTGAAAACCCTTACCATCCCCACCCTTTACTGGTAGCCTAGAAATTCTAACACGCCCACCAGATAAAAGAACTCGAGCATATTACAGAATGAAACATTATGTGGTGTGTAACTCAGGGTGAGGTAGTCTTCCAGATTTAAAATATCCAGACCGGATTTCTCCAGGAAATGAGCGAAAAAACTGACCTAGACTACAAAGATAAGACTTACTCAAGTCGCATTTTGCAATTAAAAAGAATTATTCTAACCGATGCAAAACAATTTCATAAAGGTCTAAGGGTATTCTCTCGCTTTTATTTTCACATTTTGCGTATTGTTTTTCTTCACACAAGTAGCAGGGGAGCTAACGGCAATATTTTTTCTCTTTATGATTTGTTTGTATTTTGATGTTTTTTGAACCGTGTCGTCGCCAAGCAACTGTTGTCAATATTTCGGCCTTGGCGCATAGTTTCAGTTCAAATTGTACACATAAAAACGACAATACAAAACTTCTCTAATAATATTTCCGTCTATCTTTAAACCAATTTCCTTTAATAAACACCCTTTTTTATAAAACCATATCCAAATATGCGCCTGTAAAAAGTCTAAGACCGCAGACGTAAGTCCTTTGTTTGTGTTTTGGAATCCCCCCAAATGAACGATCTACATTGATTTTTCAAAATAGGACTAGTCAATACTGTCACCATGGGCTTTAGGGCCCCCAGGCTGTTCATTAAAAAAGAAAAACAATCTTTCTCCCTCTGCTCTCTCTACACCAGCAGTGAAAAAAGAGTGATTCGTGAAACTATGACATCTAACCAGAGGGTATTTGTATACAACCGCCCCCTCCCGAAAAAATGTAAACTCTATAGCACGAACCCAGCAAGAAAACGGTACCGAAATTTCTTGCCTGCCTGTTTTGATGCAGATAAAATGTACCATCAAGTTTGATTTTGTGAGATACATCACTTCAATTTGAGTGAAATTCACCTGTGTATAATGGAAGTAATTACAGGGACGCCGCTGTGAGTTTGATCCAGCTGACATTTAACTAAACTGGTCGCATTATTAACCTTGAGCAACCTGACATTTAGAAAACAGCTACTAGACATCAATTTACATGTGTGCACTTCCAAAAAATATCCGAACATGAACACTTTGAAAAAAAAGGAAAATAAAAGGTCTAAACACAGTATCATCAGAATGAAAAACAAAACAAAAAACAATTTTGCGTATTTGATACTTAAGTCTATGTCGGAGTTCGGAATATTTATTTATAATGTTTATTTCGAATTTGCACGCCCCCCCCTCTCTATCTCTCTCTCTCTCTCTCTCTCTCTCTCTCTCCCCATACGTGTATAAACTATGTATGCAACTTTTCAAACCCCATACATTGGTTACTGATAACATATCCGCGATCCGTCAACCTGCTGTTAAACAAAAACAAGTAAAAATATGTTTCGAGTTCTACAACCACATTGTCAAACGCAAAGCTACCCGTATCTCTTACGAAGAAATCTTCCTGTTCGCGATTTCAGACCATACTTAGCAGATATGGAAATGGGCAAAATGGGTGGGAGAACAAGTCAAAATCGGAAGTCAAGAGAAGAGTGTCCAGGGATGTTAATAAGGTCTTTTGTGGGCAGCGATGTAAATTAGCACCTGACATCATAATAGATTAGTGTAAGCATGAAACCAGGAGCAAAAAAAGAGGCATTGTATCCGTTCGTTATTCTTGGGCACTGTCTTTATATTTAATATATAGGAAAGTGAAAAGATGAGAGGAGCTGCGAATCTTTTCTCTAAAGATGGACCGGAACGCAGTATAACCAGAGACTACATTAAATATACGAACATCACGTTCTCTTTTTTTCGTGATACCTAAGTTGCTCAAACTTTTCCAAAGTGACAGGAGTGCTAAATAAACAGGAGAGCTCTTTATCTTAAAATGCACTTTAATTTTTATATGACTGATCTAAAACAGACTAACAAGAGGGATTCGTGATTTACCTTCATTCACAATCATCTAAATTTGAAACGCGTCACTCTGCGTGTTTATAATTTGAAGTGCGTCAAACGATCCTGCTCTCATAATTCTGTCGATTAGATATGTTTATTTAGTTTTTAAAAAGCTGTTAACTCAAAAGAAACAAAACAGTGGTAAGTAGGCAACTAAGTAAGTGCACCTCATCTAACACTGGTCACACGTCTGCAAATAGACAGTGGTCAACAAAAAAAAAAATGGGTGTAACACCGCACCGTGGCACCGACTGTAAATTACCATTTGATATATATGCGCGAGACCTCCTTACATAGGGTAATAGCCTAAGCAATGAAAACTTTACACTGACGGGTCAGGTGAACTAGGTGGCAATTCTGCACTGGACTGGACGCTTGGGACATTTTTCTGACCTGGTCACACCGACAGACACTGACCACTTAATCGACCACAGTGACCAAGCAGACGTTTCTCTTTTGTTTGTGATGGGGGTTAATTATCACGTGTATTGTTCGCGCGGTTTTTGAACGGATGTGTCCCGATGTGCTTGGATAGAAAAAAAAAGAAACATTGTCCATTACATTGAAAATGAGAGAAAATTCTGGTGTTCTGTGGATTTGGTATACGTGACAGCTTACAGACCGTGTGATGAATGAAAGGGGTCAGTAAGTAAACTTGTCTATCTATATATTAGTGTTTTACATTCGTTGAAATGAGCGCCTAGATTTTCTTTGAAGTCATCTTATCACAGAGCTCTTTTGGTATTAGACTCCCCCGAGCAGTTGGATTTGCATGGAAATGCAATTAAAACGATGCACAAAGATTAGATATATACATTGCTCTTTGTGTAGATGACACGAACGTATCACGCACATATTTAATTTCTACACGCCCATCTTGCTTCCCCCCTTTATCCCCCACCCCAACTCACCAAAACCCTCTGTTTTTCTCGTCTTGAAAACTGTCCACATTTTCTAAATACCAATTTATTACAGCGTTGGCATGGTGTATTACTCCCCAAATAGTTGAATTTGCATGCACCTGCATTTAAAGTGAAGTGTCTCGATTAGATATACGTTGCGCTTTGTGATGATGGCAAGATAAACTAGTCCCTGACTTCTTACACCCAAGTGTATCCCCCCCAACCGCCCTTCTCTCTCTCTCTCTCTCTCTCTCTCAAACACACACACCAGATAAAAGCACACACGTGAACTGTCTGGTGATGAGGCAAAATCACTTGTCTGTCCTTTCCCATTTAGCGTAAATATTACTTATTACTAAGAAATTTTGTTGTAACATATTTGGAGGGAACTGCACCGATTTCTACAAGACGACAGCTTATTTAGCAACAAACTGCCACCACCACAATAAAGGAAAGGAAAGAAAAGGGTGCACATTGTCCCTTGGTCAAAATGTCAACACAGATCCCATTAACACTATTTTGGATTTGGGTGTCAGGAAAAGTACAAGAAAAAACGGGACTTAACTCTCATATCAATTTTCCAGAAGACAAACAAAATTTCTTTCGGTCGTTTTTATCCTATCTGTTGACAAACTACTGAGTTTCACCGGAAATCGAGTGCACTCCATTAAGTTCATTTCCAAATATCTTTACGGGGGACTATTGCAACTGTGCTTAAGTTTACACCTATTTCATTCATGTCCTTTTCTGTCCATCACCCGGACGTTTTAGGCCCAGTAAATTAAGCACAACAGCAAATAATCCTGGCTTTAAAGTTTGCGGACATGCTTAATTTATTCTTCCGAGGCTTTGTCATTTGTTGGACACGTAATTTAAGCCTCCAAATTTCATAACTTGTCATCTTTGTATTATGTTTGGTGGATAAACTTACCTCTTCAGATCAAAATGCACAGGTTTTGGGTGGTCAAGACACAAATGACCCTGGTCATGACAATCGAATAACAGTAGAAGGATTTGTCACTGGGTTTTAAGTCGAGTAAACTACCGGGGCAATAGAGATGCCTATGAACCAATCTTTTTGTATGAAGGATTACATAGGGTTATGCGGAAAATTGTACGCATGTGCGTACAGATATACGCACGCACAGATATACGTCTAATTACGCTTTACCTGGTTAAATATTGCGTAGAACACGTCCAGGTGGTTGCCCAGATCGACCCCTTCTGGGTACTGCTGCTGTAACTGTTCATCGTCATTCGCCCTTTCTTCGTCAAAAACGTCTAACTGAACTGTCAGATCGGGATCTTGGTCTTGTTCTTTTCTGAAATGAGAAGAAAAAGGAACGATGCTAAAAATGTATATTTTTTAAATAAGGCTGTTCATTAAATAAAACAGTTGAAATATCGAGAGTAGGAAACCAATTACACTTGTACCATAATCTTATCTTATTGTGTAACAAGAATCAATTCTGTAGGGGTAATAGTGATTTAAGGCAACGAAAGTTTTTTTAGATTCTTTATCAAGACAATCTCTTCACCTCAGCCTTGTTTTAAATGTCAAGCGGATGTCGTAAAAGATGTCGTAAAATTGTTCACGTATGTCACATCGCACAGGCTATATCTATATTAAATAAGGCACTGCCCTCAAGGCATACGAATAAGTTTCACAGAGATAAAACAATTTACTGTATTACACACCGGCCTACCTAAAAAAGACCTAGAGGATGTATCTAAATTAGAAACAGCACACAAATTTGTCGCTGCACCCATGATGCAAAACGCCGAGAAATATTTAAAGGAGTAACATTTTTTGTGGCGTCTCATTAACACACCTGGTGTTTTTTAAAGGGGTGGTTGTTGGGGTGGTGACTTATTAATGATACAACTTATATAAATTGACGAGGAAGGGGAACCGTTTTGCCCAGCCTCACTGACAGCACAAATGTCGGAAGAGTTGTCTTTTATTTTCGGTTGGGCGATTGGTTGGAAGAATGAATAAAAAGTTAAACAAGGTCGTTTTCGCTTTGTTGCTATGCATTGAAGGGGAAAAGGATGTCCTTGTGCATGACCAAAGGGTCACTTTTATGGTAAAGTAAAAAATATAAAGCTTTTACTTAATCCACCGTGATGAAGAAACATAAAGGAACCTAAGACGCTTCGGTCAGTGAATTCCACAGACTTGGAGACCAAATGCCTTGCGCCCTAAACTCTCTCAGTTTGGGATTAAAACGCTGCTGCCTCTGTCACTCGATTCTTTTTTCCCCACTTGAACATACCTTGTGATTCACGTATCGAATTTCATTGTTTTTCCAGTGTTAACAATACATGTTCAAACATGGACTCGGGCTGCCGTGCTGATCCAGACAGAACAAAATGGCGCTAGTAGCTTTTGGCGTGACGTGTTTGAAAAAGATATATCACTGCTTGTTTATGGGATATGATGTTCGCCAGAAGTCTAATGACAGGCTCATAATTCAAATGTCGTATTCTCTTTCTTGTTCGACATATTACCTGTTATATGATCAAGCTTGCTTATTTTTCCTATTTAATGAGTCCCCGTGAGCCAATTCGTTTCTTGTAACAATTCCATATGCAGACTTAAGTTTCATGTTTTGTTTATTGACTGAGGGCGTATTTTGAGTTTATTATAACAGGATTCTGATCTTGGAGGAAACCGTTGTACACATTTTACCGAAAGGGGAAGTGTTCGACTTGTACAGTCTGACGGCTTCTATCCATTACTTCTTGAAGACATAGAGATGGATGAGTCACAAATTAAAAGCTTTTTATGTAGTTTCTAGTGGGTTCGCAGGGGGTCATCGGCTGTTCATAAAAAACTACTCAATCGTCTGCTGGGCCCATCAAGTACGACAATGCCGAAAACTGGAGCAAACGTGCAGACTCGTTCGTTGTTTGTGCACGGTGTCGGTTTTCAATATCGCTTCTTTGTACTGGACTGTGCCTAGTAGTAGAGTGAAGGGTATAACGTCCCTGATACTAAATATAAAATTTTGCTTCTTTTTGAAGATTCCCTCGACTCTTATTGCAACATCATTATTCATTTGGAATTTAAAAAATTATCAAGTGTGGAGTTTTTCAATATACAATGTTCAAATCCCTTGACAGTTGTTGCTTTTGGTCAATAAAGCGCAAAACATTGTTAGCAGGATGCATGAGCCCAGATCCCAATGACCGAGCTTAAATTAAAATTCTTCTGATATTATATTATAATCCGAATTACATTCCGTTGCGTGTGGCATTAATTTATTCCAGGACCCCCAACAAGACACCCCTGGATTAATCACTAATTTAGCCAAAGTTGCACGAAAATTCATTTTTTCTCTTTTATGTGTTTACTTAAGGTTTCTGCACAGCAGTGTCAGCGGGTCGAAGTAAAAGCAGTGCGTTATGATTCTGTATCAAATATGGCTTTTCATTCCATTAGGTCCCAAAACAGGGCTTTTCAGGCGAGAAAAATAGGAGGGTGAAAGGGCGATGGTGTAAAGTAACTCTAAACCGTCATGGTATTATATACACATCAACCCGGCATATTTTGTATTGTTTCCTTTATAGGTTTGAAAATAATATGAAATAATATCTGTTAGGTGTTTGTTGATAGCCGAATTTTCCACAGCCACTGACTCTATCTCGGGTAAACTCTCTTGGGTGAACTGCGCCCACTCCTAAGTCCAGTGATTTCTTTAGAGGGGGCCCCTTAATAAACCGCTTACTTGTATAACATTGTTTCACCCTTTGTGGTCACTTCTAAGTCAAAAGGTAAAAGATCAAGTAACCTTAAGTTGGTCACTTGAAGGAAAAGTTTCAAAGCTCATTGTCAGATTAAAAAGACACAACAAGAGTTGTAGCAACGATCTTGTCATTGTGGTCCTTCGGCGCCGCAGGGATGTGAAATGTGTATGGGCTTGAGACTGTTTGTCCGATCTTTGTATTGTATAACTTACACGTTAGTTACAAGATTCCAAACAATTATTTTGGACACGAAAGACTAACAGAGTTGAAAAGTAAGTAATAAAGTTGAAAAGTTACTCTTAATGAGGCCAATCTATTTAACAAGCGGACCAACAATAAAATTTCGATTTTCATTTCTAGTTGAATTGTTTCTGCTCAACGCGTAAAACGAGTTTTTGAGGCGTGCATTTGGAGAGAAAATATGGACATAACGAAGCAAGAGTTTGGGCCCATTATTCTTCAAAAAACTTCATTAACTTAACACCTTGCCTCTTCCATGCTAACTAAACTCGTGATCACAAATGCTGTCACACACTTTCGTCCGTATTGTAAATTTTACGACGGAAATGTGATACGCGAAAAGTAAACCGCTACGGAGGGATCGCAAACAACGGCGACATGTTAGTTTGCTTCCGCGTAACTAGAACAACAGAAGCACAGCGACGACTCACCGTGGGACTGTGCGAAAAAGAATGTGACGCTTGATACAGTGTAAATTGTGTCATAATTATTGGTAATATTCTTTTACGTTGGCATTCGTGCATCTTATTGGAAATGTTGACCGAAACATGAATGGGGGACTGCTTTGGGGGTAAAGCGTACTTGAGATGGCTAATTTGTATAACCTTGAGAAAGGGCGCCAACGTCTCTTCTTTTGGTCAAAATTTAAAAGCCATACAGCAGCAAACCAATGTGTATGTGTACGTGTGTGTGGGGGGGGGGGGGGTTGGGGGGTGGGGGGTGGAGGGTAATATCAATTCTTTGTACGAAAAACTATTGATCTAATCACGAGCCGTGTGCTTTCTCGCGTACGTGTTTGGCACAACTCAGTTTGTCTCTTGGTAACTTTGAACCCTAATTCGTCATGACTTTTAAAGTTTGAATGGGTAAATCTAAACGCTGCTGTACATGTTTTTGTAATCTTAAACTGATATTTCCGCGTGTTAACTGCTTCACACTGTGTCATACATATATAACCTATACGTGGCAATCGGCACGCTCTGTCGCCCACTGAAGTATAAGGACTTATTATGTCTCTAGCAGAGCACCCTTATCTGAAAAGCACTCTATATGCAAAATGGCGCCCTGTACACTAGTGGAGGATGTCACCCATTCTAGTTACAAAACACGTATTGTCACCAAACTTCATTTTACTATACGGACCACTCATTTGCTACTCAGGCCTGATCGAGATTCATTCATAAATATACTTTGGAGCTCCGTTCACAAATTCCAGCCTGTTTTCGCTGCAATATGCGGTTAAAGGATGGGGTTGTTAGTTCATTCAAACACAAACCTGACTGGTGGCGCTTGGACGCCTCTGTGGATGTGGTGACTATTGCTATTCAAGTCACGAAGGAGACACCGTGCAAAAGGCCGGAGCCAGTAGACTTTAATGAAAAATATAGTACGGCCCACCTCGGTTGTTTCCTATGTTTTAATAAAATCGTCATATAAGCCCTGTCCAATTAATTCCCAAACGGGGTGAATTTATTACTGAGCACACGAGAGATAGACATTTGATGCCGATCCCAACGTCAACATTCATCATGTTATTTGAACATTGTCACACAAACATGAGCATTGATGGAAAGATGAGCGGTAACGACATTTATATCTAATATCTGATATATTTCAAATGTGACTGAAAAACCGCGGTTATTTTTTTTATTAATTTTCTTAAAATTTTTTGAATGGCAGGTAGCATCTTGCGGTATGACAAATAGTGAAAACAGACCGCGAAGAACCTGAGCGTTTTGTATCATGATACATTGTTCCATTATAATACGATTGTTCACTTTAACCCTCTGCAGAATATGATATCCTGGGCCCATATGTTTCAAAATTTTAAACCAATTTGTATTAGATCTTGCCCACATCTTTAAGTGACATGTCACGAGAACAGAGACTTTTACAGTTGTTGAAAAAAATCGGGGGCAATTACTATGATCAGGGCAAAGAAACCCACCCAGGTTTGGACTTCAAATAGCCATAATTTCTTACAAGCGAGCTGGCGGTAACAAGACGGTCGTCTGCGCTGGATAAAGACCAGGCCAGAGGTCATTTTCAGCCCAAACGTGGTATACATCTGCCGAAACAAATTGCACTCCAAAGTCTTATAAAATCAAAAGACTGTTTGTACAAGTCTTATGGTTGATTTCATAAAACGCCTCAGGTGAAAAATAAACACCTCTAAGCAGTGGGGGAAGTATTATGTGAAACTGAGGTTTTGATGTTATAGCGGCGTGGAAGCAGACTATGTACGAAAAATACAATATAGGTGAGAGGATGTTCTCTTTAGATTTTAGAATTTGGAACAGTCGCGATGACTCAATATGCGGGCTTCCAATTCAACGACGCAGGGCCCATCCATCTTACTCAAATACCTGAACTAGGTGACTGTTTTCAAAATGTAATAGCACCCATTCTTAATAATGCATTCTCTGCGTGTCTCTCGTTAGCTAGTCGTCGTTTCTCACGCAGATTCACGTTGGTCCTGTGCAGGCAAGGGTTTAGCTCCCAATTCACAACTGGCGTATTTGCTCACTTCTGAACCAGACAGATCTTTCCTAACTCTCTCACAATAGTACAGCTAATGTAAAATACTAGATATAAGAATGCTTCCACAAAATAAGTAAAAGAGGAATTTTGAAAATTTTGGCAATCAACCCTTAATGCATCGAAATAATTACAAAGAAGACCGATGCAGCCGGACCTGCGAGATGTGAACGCCGCCAGCGGTTGTAGACCAATTCACAACTGAACTAACTTCTATTTAAACTTCAGTTCTGCTGTTAGCCAACTAAACCGAATTTCGTCTGATGTGAACAAAACCAATGAAACATTGCAAACAAGGCAGATTTTGCCGTAATCCTCTTCCTCGGGCGTGTTTTCACTCGCACAGCTAAGATTTCAAACGACATAGCAACAATGTCAATATTTTGTAAAAGTGAAATCTTACTACAATGCGAGTTCTGCCTTGAGTGGTAGTCAATCTACATAGACCTGCGTTTTATTTTCCGTCCTTGTCATTGTGCTTTTCAGCGCCAAGTGTGGTGTCAGCAGTTCAAGAAAACTCTTCAGACCGTGTTCCCTATTCCTTGTTAATGCCAGAGACAAATCAGAAGTACTGGTCACGGTTTTGATGTTTGTACTGCTAAGCTTATTTCGCATGCTTGGTAGGTGCCCAATGTCTCTGTTTGAACATGACATCGCGGAGCGCATGGCCCAACGGCCGATTTCATCCCGGACAACCAAGCTAATTTTTTATCGTTAAAGGAGCAATTTGAGATATAAAGTCTTTAATAATATCACGTGTTGCCGTGCCCTTCATTACAATGACATGTCATCTTCTTCTATACCTTTTTACACTTTTCATTTTTGGGGTTATTACTTTGGCTTGTCGCATCTTTAAATCTGAAGTGCTGCTAATAGTCTATAATGAAAGAAACGATTTCTGCAAAGTGTTTATATGACCTTGTGATCAAATTAAGGCTAATTGGTATGATTTAACGGAATTGAAAATCAGTAAAGCAACCCTATTAAATGGTGCTCCTATTATAATTTTCAGCCCTTCAACCACGTTCTACTTTCTTTGCTTCAACAAAGGCAAGATTCATTGAAGAAGACTGCTGAACCTATAACTCCTAAATGCTATGGTTAAAGTATTCCTACTTGTGGGAAAAGGTGAACCAAAAAGCAACCGCAGCTATGGAAATCCACGCATGGATATAACACGATTTTCCGCCATCTGACCACACGTTGTGAAAATATGACCGTGCACTAGCAGCGTTCATTCAGAAAAGCACTTCCCGCACACATCCGCACTTCTTTTTGTACGCCATGTTGTCAGAGTTTCTCGCTTCGGAGCACTTCTTAAGGCACTGTTTTACTTTTATACAATTCGGTCGAGGACTTTCACAATTAAGTGTCCATGTTTAAAATGAAACAGGTGCGGTGGTGACTTAAAAGCGTTTACCTAACTCTCACCTATCTCACGTAGACAAACAGATGCATGTCAAATTTGCACAGTAATGGATCACCGCCTCTTTAAAACAGATACGAAAAAAAGTTTTATTTTTGAGTGGAAAGACATTTTTCGAAAAAAATATTGAAAAAGAAAATCTTGATAACCATCATTTACTAGGAAAAGACATCAACGTGTTGCCATCAAATCATTTTATATCAGAGCCGCAGCGTCAACAGGTGAACACGACTGCGCATGCGTTCTGCCTTGGGACTACTATTTCCAGTGAACCTAGTCAAATATAAGACGGGTTATCTGTTTAAGACGACATTAATTAGTGAGGTTGACGTATACAGGAATATTAGCGTCCTTACAGCTATAAATATACCCGTTTTGATTGTAACTTTTGACAAGTTCCTCTAGCAATGAATACTAGTGTGATAAATTAAACAGACTGACTTTATAGCACTGTATGCGAAGCACCATATAGGGTTGGTTGTTTAAGTATTTTTTTTAACAGACCACGGCACATATGAAGCAAACAAAACCAAACATGGCCAACGAAATTGACACAACACTGACTAACTTTGTTTTGACATCTTTAAAGTCGAGCAAGGAAGGGTGAAATCATCGCGCATGATGTTATGAACGAAGGACTCCAGACCATTTATAGTTATACTTTGGCAGGATAGGTTTATGCACGCTTATGACTAGAGGCCATCCTAGTATGTATTGCCGTCCTACTAGAGACTTTGTCTGTTTAAACACAATTCCAAACGGAAATGTCACAAGAAGGCCGCAAAAACACTTCATTTGGAACTGCCTTCGTCCCACGTGAGATTTGAATTATCGCCGCTAAATGCGCGATGTTTCCATATCTCGCGAGATGGAACGAAAGGATGAGAGCGGAAACAGATTGGCTTTATATATCACGCACGCACACACACACACACACATACAAAAATATTTGCATGATGAGTTGATATGCCTATGGGGTAACTTTAGGTGCGGTGTCGTCATGATATGGCAAATGCTTTAAATAACTTCCCCGTCGTACCACTAGCGATGCAACATCTTAAGTTAAAATTACCCAATGCAACGTGATAATTTATAGGTCTCGGAATGAACGACAGCTACCAAGTCCATTATTGGAGCATGCCGGTATATGGCATTTTCGTCATGTTTAAATACAGAGCGATTTTAAGCATTTTGTTTTGCATTAAAGTATCTAGGTTAAGAAAGCTATATAACTTACCGTAATTGGTTTAGAACATCTAGCAACTTCAGCGCTGCAAAGAAAAAGAAGAGAAATTCAGTTATAAATTAAATACTTTTGTACAATAATAAATACAGTTATAAATTAAATACTTTTGTACAATAATAAATACAAATGCTACCAAAGTGCATTCCACCTGGTGAAAATCGTTTTTTTCTGTGAACAAACAATGATTAACATCTCTTCTCATCACTTTTTTAAAAGAAAGTATCATTCCATCCCAAATCTATAAGCACATTTTGTTCGATGTACGAAATCTGATAGGAAACATTTGTGACCTTGAAAACGCTCGGGGAAGATATTTTTTCAAACTCGTTCTGCGTCCTATGGCACTTACTGGTAGGTCTCATCGTTTCATCCCCGCTTCTGTTCTTGGAACAACGCGACATAAGTAATCTAACAACCATCAATTTAACATTTCAGTCCCTTATCTATATACATTTCAACAGCATTTGACCAAAATCTGCAGCGTATACTTTCTCTTCTTCACTCCGACTCGCTACCATCTTTTTTTGCTGTCACACTGAGCCTTGTATCATGGCAGACTTCATCATATTACCTACACGCACTATTTAACTCAACGATGTAAACAAGAAACAATATGATTAAATACGATCCGGCCATGTATTGGCACGTTTAACGACGAAAATCCTTTGTTTGAATGATCGGAATCTTCCTTAGATCATCGGTAATGTCGAACGGTAAACAGGCCTTTTAGGCGATATAATTATTCAGTGACGACCAACTATGCGGGTTTTGTTCGGGTTTGAAGATCATTGAAAATCAGTGTGAGTCATTTCCATTCAAACAGTGTGAGTTGGTAAGAGGACCTTGATTTTGAGCGACTTCCTGCATAGAATCCAATGATATACTTGCGTATATTACGCCATTCTCGTCGTAGCGGAATGTCATTTTGAACCTGCCCTCTTCCCCGGGAAATACCTCTTTAAGTAAGATAAAAAAGTAGGTCCAGAATTCTTCCAAATGAGGTTTAACTAATGCAGACCTAGCATTTAAACTTTTCTTTAATGGCATTTGTGTCAAAATATTTGTTAGAACCGAATAATCCCCAAATTTAGTCGAAATGAATTGAGTTACTCAGCCTCGCTTTCTTTTACAAAACACTAACTAGAAGGGCATCTATCCTTTGAATTTTAGACATACATGTTTCATTTTCATAAAGATATACAGTTTGACACAAGAACATGTTTCTGGGAAAGATCGGTTTCATTTTTGGGAAAAATGTTTTTTTTTTTACTTTTGACCTTGTGTAACGTATTTAATGTACCTCCTACCTAATATGACAACGTCTGCAGAAGCGATACAAAACATTCTTGAAACTTCATGCATACATATCCAATTTGCTTTCTTACGTATACAATACCAAATTATCTAAAGAACCAGGAAAGGAGACCAAAAATTGATTAAATTAAGTCAAATGTTAGTGAAATTTCGTGACCTCACTTCAGTGAGTGTTCTTAAGCCCCATACATCTTCCAGATAAATAAGCGCCTCATTATATTTGCAGTAATATATTCACATTCAAAGTCCAGTACGGGTGCATGCAGTGTTCGCCACGGGACCCTATACTGAACGTGAGAGGCACAACAAGCCTTTTCCTGTTCGTTAAGTGTCTCCAGTCAAAAAGATGAACGCGATAACTTGCCTTACACACTTTATTAATGTTTAACAATGTGCGAAGGGTTGTCCAATCCCGACAACGATTTCATTAGCGTTGCCTTCCCATGACTGGTCACCTCCCGTCCGTCTTTAACCCTACCCCCCCCCCCCCCTCGCGTGCGAGAGCAGCCCCCCTTCTTAATGGCCATGCTCACGACTGGTCATCCATTAGAAAGGTGCCGTCTCTTAATACCTATACTTTGTTTAATGGTTCACCAATATGTTATCAATAATGGTTATTACGTGATGTTGCTACACCTTCAAAAAGCATCATCGGTATGTTGCAAATAATGGGATACTGAATCCAAGAACCGTTATCGCCCTGGTAGGGTCAGGGGGCATATTATGAGGAGATGTAATGTGTTTGGATTGATGTGCGTGTACAAGAGAAAAGTCAGTGCTCTGTTCCTCGGGCACTTATTTACCAAATTTCTCTAAGAGCTCGAACAATCACTCCACAAGGACATTTCGAAAACGCATCAATAGTAAAGGGCCATTTAAGTATCAAACAGGACACAAACACTCAAACATATAGTTTTGGACAATAGTGTTACTCTAAAGTTAGGGAAACTTTGTGTACGGCAAATGTTGACATTCGGCCCTGCATTGTCTCCGATCACGAACCAGGGTGAATTTGAGGAATAGTGAGTTTATCAAAATCTAAATGGACTGAATATGTCAACACAACGTAGTGAGAGAAGAGGCTGGTTGAAATATTAACACTGTCTCGGTTTTCTTTGGCTATTTTCTGATGTCGGTAGGTATTTGGGGTGGGGTTGGGTAAAGCTGGGTGTGACGGATGTATCGAAAATGCACCCGAGTGTCACGTATGTTTAAAATGTTCAAACATTTCTATATTCAGTCATCGCCTATCCTTAATCATGATAAAAGTACAACTAAAAAGTCCTTTTCTGATCGTTGCATGTTGCATTCCTGCAAACAGATATTCCACTTTAGAATGTTTAAGCACAGTGTGATATTAGCATGAAAAACACACTATTTCACCACACACACTGGCAACCTAATATTCAATTTTTGTGAGGAAATCCATAAAACGGCTAACACCGATAAAATGTCATTTCTACGACGCCAGTTGTTTGTATCGTAGAGAAATCCCATTTTTAATCATAACTGACATCCAATAAATTGGTGCCTGTTGTTTTAAAAGTTGCCCATCAACTGGAGTATGCTGTCTTTATTATCAAAATGTAGTTTTTTGTTCAAACCCTGGCGCCGGAATTATACAAGACTACATTTGATGACAGTGTAAATTTTGATACGCATTTCCTCATTATCAAAGTAGAAGCAACGTCTTACTTGTGGTTTAGAAGCTTGTCTTGTAAAAAAAACCACATTTTTCACCTCGCAAAAGGGATGGTGCGAGCGCATGCTTATGGCATATTTACACTAATAATTTTCTCGCTTCCACAGCCCATGAAACGCCGTCATCCATGCTAAGATATTTGAAAAAAGGATAGAAACCAGTGTGCCTGAATGAATGAAGCGTTTTCTCACTTGAAATGGACAAATACAGCTTAAATATAAGGAGATACGAATGTCGATACTGGTTTAAACACACCTAACATTTACAAAATGTGGTTGACGGGTAACTTAAAAACTTAAGATGAAAAAACATCAATTTGTTATACATCCTGAACACCTCTAATCAATTAGACATTTTCCTTTGTATATTATCATCTCTCTCCTTGGGACTCCACCTCTTCGTGAAATGATTTTAATGTTAAAATGACAGGGTTAGAGATGCCATGCTTAAGATAAATGCCTGTTCATTGGTGGCTTTGTCATTACCACTGCAGATTATAGACTTTATAGGACGAAGTTTGCCCCCAAGACAAGATCCTATCGCTTGTCATATTCATTTGAGCCCGAAGCGTTGCTTCTCTATGCTGAATCCTGTATTAACTTACGGCAGCCTCGATGCTATCTTGTTATGACAAGTTGCGTGTGGGTTAAAGTTGGGCAACCCTTTTCGTGTAAACGTCTAAATAATCTCTGATATTCGCTTCAGAAAAAAATCTTGTGTACAATGATATCTTTGTCAAGTTTTGCGTGCATTTTCATCTACAAGTTCGTTATACAAAGAGTTTGAGCATAAAATGTTACTTAGAATAGTAGCTATTTTAGGTATATACTCGTTATCTAAAAGGAAATATGGAGTATCATATCCCATCTAATGAATCTAATGACATTGTCGTGTACAAAATGTCCAAAAATGTCCCTCTCTTCTTTCGACCGCTTCGAAATCCATCCCGCTAAACCGTAAATCTTATTACGACTACCTTATTTTTATAGAAAGAGATGAGACGTCATCATACATGCTATAAGGCTCCAAAAAGGTCGAATACTTTCAAAACAATGTCAGTTTAATTATGACTTTTACAAAGTGTTCATGGCGGCAAGGGTATCCGTGCAACAGAATTAGGGATGTAATCCCCTGCTTGCCCAAGTGTATTTTGCAACATGTTTAAAACGAATAATAGGGGAGATTCGATGGAGGAGACATAGAGCAGGGAGAGGAGGAAACAGTGGCCGGGCTACTGGAACCGTGCGTCACTGAGAGCACAAAATGATTACTTTTTGTCAAAAACTTCTGCATGCAAATGAACTTTTTTAAACTATTGCTTTGTCAAACTCATGCACTGCTTTAAAACGTCAACATCTCGCCCTACATATAAAACGTATTCATATCACACCATAAAGTTAGTCAAAATATCTTGTTTTTGACGAAGGGTCTTGCCAACAGTCTCCCACCGCGAATCCACAGCAAAGCTATCTCAATGTTCTCCAATGGTTGAGAGTCCACCCTTAATTTAATTATACTGTATCTGTATGGCCGGCACTGTTTTAACAAGGGCCTTGAGAAGACTTTAAATATGTCATTCTGCTGATGCTAATGACTCGCCCGGATAGGCGTCTTTTATCGCGAAGAGGTGGACTTCTTCATAATATATCAAAGAGAAAAGCATTATCTTCTGAATGCTATTTAGTGCACCCATTTTGCACATCCCGGATGGTGTTCAGAAATAAGAAATGGTTTGTTTTAAAACATCTTTGGTTTGCTATAAACATCAGTTCACTTCGCAGGTGCAAACTCTTGCTCTTGTTGTAGACTTTTGTCTATTGTGTTTCAGTTTCATTCACAAGTACTCCACGCCAATGCTTTGGTCTTAACTAGCGTAATGCGCAAATAGGTCGCTTATTTCACCATTACATGGAGTCTCCCGTTCAGTGTCACGGATTAGGTGAGATTTCATAGGTCACAGAAAAGCGTCTGACACCATCAATAAAACTACCTTCACTTAAGATACACTCGTTACCTAAGTCATTATTGAGCACACCGTGTCATAGGTAATCTACAATGGGACAATATATAATAATATGATATTGCGTAACTACACTGTAATCATCGGCAACGACGCCATTACACTGATAATCAGTAACAGGTATCATAGGGGCTTACATGGCAAAGGCAAGATCACGGAGGCAAACCCCCACGAAATCATTCACTGATTATACGCGTCTGGTCACTAATTCCCCTAATTCCAGGGATTTTTAAGTACAGACCCAGGTGACAGCTACATACCAGTACTCATTGGTTGTAATCTGATACATAGAAAACCATGGTCTAAAACTCGGTTAATTCCTTACCTTTCCTGACTTTCTCTGCTGGTGATTACGTGATTGCACAAAATGACACATTGGCCTTATTATAACTTTGGTTAATCTTTTAATTCATGTTTCTTTTTTTTTTTTTCGTTTTTTATTGTGTTATGTACACGAAAATAAGAACATTCCTACCGCCAAATTTTCGGTTTTATAGCCTCATATATACGAAAATGTGCAAGACCAACTTAGGCCCCTCTTTTATGATTCTAGTTCCTGTAAACAGAAAAAGTTAAGACGACTTACCTATAAATTCGTTCCTTATCCGTACTCTAACCTTGATATCTTGGGCAGAGATGATAAGACAATTGATAAAGGCGAGAAGAGAAGTCTTATATTGGGCGTTCCCGTCTCCTGTGAGTTCCCGGATAATAACGAAAAATCTGTACCTCTCATTTTTCTGTGTCTGAAAATAGGAAAAATATAAAACTTTCAATTAGCAAATTGATTTTGAAAATTCTTTTCCGTTAAAATACGAAAATTACAATTCTAAAAGAATTCTATTGTGATAAGCAATTATTTTATAAAACTATACCCCCAATGCTTAAAGCCATACACTTTCCTTGAACGATTCTGTTATGTTATATATTTTCTAGTAAAGTCGCCTAAAGACAATGGTCTACTAGTGTGCACATACCCCATTTGCATATAATTTATTCAAGTCGTTAAAATATAATTTCAATTTCCTGTGTTATATTGTACACTTGCAGATTGTGAATGCTGTTCATAAATCATCATGGTCGTAAAAAAATTAATCTCCAAAACAAGTGCCTGCACAGTTTGAACGAGATCGCAGTGGCGATAATGATAATCACGACGATGGTAATGGTGATAATGGATCCGATAAATTTTACAAAAAAAAAGTGACTTTATTCTCGTATCAACAAGACCAAATGTACCATTTGTCAATTTGAATGATTATTTTAATGACAAGCGCCATCATTTTGTCCCTTTTCTTTAAAAACAAGAGCCCTGAGAGTTACGGCACCCCGCAGTGATAATAAGAGGTGAGGGCAATCGCAAGACTAAAGTTGACATCTTTATTCTTAACGATAATAAGTTTTTACGCGTGCAGGTCAAGTGGAGGCAAACAAGTGCAAACTTGCAGGTGTCAGAGTCGACAGAAATCAGTAGTTGGTCACCAACAAGTGCACTTTCACAAACGGTTTCCTTACCGCCCCATCCGAGTGTTTGCACGATGACTACGACAAAGCTCGATAATGTTCCATTGAAGACAACCATGAAGTGAATTTAATAAAACTAATCGCAAAACCTCCAAGAGGTTGGTATCAAAATTGACCTTTTTGGTGACGAATGTGTCGCATAAGTTTTCTCAAACAGTGTCATTTAAGGTAGGCCTTTATGGCATTGATGATGTACAAAGAAAATCTATTTTGTCATAAACTTCCGCATGTTAAGTAACTCATAAGAACGAATACTTTGTCAAACCATGGAAATAAATGGTGTGGTACCATATATTTCCATGGTCAAACTAATGCAGTGCTATTAGACCTCAACATCTCAACTTAAATACACTATGTATAAAAAAAACACAGCTCACCATCAAGATAGTCAAAATCCCATTTATGATCGACATGGAAAAATCAGAGCCACATACATTGTCACGCCACAAAGCATAGGCCCGGCATTGTTGTAGGATGTTCTGGGTGGGAAAACTGGCCATAAGGATGGTGATATCTGGTCCCATATCTGCGTTAACGTCTTCAGACCACATTCAAAATGGTCTTTGGGACACACCATTAAAGGTGCGGTTGACCCGTGCGGCTGGCCCCAAGGGCAGCGCGCTTACTTAGCCAAATACAAATGGGTTAATGGAACCAGATACAATGTATATAATTTCCACTGCTAAAAACAGTCGTTTGTAGTGGTCTAAATTATCACCTTTTATTCAGGTCGTATAGGTACATAACATTAATAGCACGAGTGCTGCCACACGCTGTTTAGGTTACTTTCAGCGTGAAAAGCATTAATTATTTTCATAATCTGGTAATTAATGTTTTCATATTTTAAACTTTTGTCGGCACCATAGGGGTAAATGAGCTGTCGACCTTGTTTGTTTTACCTGTAACTGTTCAACCCAAGTCTGTTTTGTTTATATACTCAAAGACAGATGAGCTTACGACCCACTTCATGCCCAAGTTCCAGAAAGAAAGGTTGTCAGATTTTTCCATTGAGCTCAGAACCTAGGCGAAATTCCCAACGCAAATAAAACTGATATTACCGATCCAAATGTTGTGGTTTGAAAGGCTCAGTTTTCACGACTTCTCAATACCTTTCATTTTCAAGACGGATCATGATCCTAATGCAATTATTGCCATGCCCACGTGCTAATGACCCTCCACGTTCTGTCAACCACCTTACACTTATACGGGGTACTTTACTTCATTGTCCAAAGTTTGTTTTCTTCCGGATGTTGCACAATGTTTATATTTGGACAGGTACCACTTAACAATATCAAGGTGATTACCGACCTAATCAGCCACCATAGGATTAATGTGAGAAACGTAGCACGCACTAAACACCACGATACACCCCTCAACAGAGGTAAGCGCCCTGAAGCGAAATTATTAATATCTGGGACGCCAGAAAACTTCATAACTAATGTTTCGGCATAGTAATATCAAAGATAAACAGAGGTCCTCTTTTTAGTGAAGACTGAGAGAGGGAGTACCATACCTCTAGGCGGTGGGGTTAACAAGTCGTCGGAAAGGAGGTTGGTTTTTATGTTTTTGGTCAATCCCTTTAAAACGTGCAGTGCTTTCGCGTACAATGTGGTCATCTCGTGGCTAAAATAACGAAATGACCTCAAGCGATAAATCAATGATCTTAACGCCCAATGCACCCGCTGACGTTATATACACCGTGAAATTTGAAGAAAGTCGTTGTTTTTAATTAAGGGGACAGATTTGGAACCTACATGAGTCAAATGTGCTTAAGATATGGAGTCATTACAGGGTCGATACACGGCCACAAAGTACAAATTCTGCCCTAAGCATTGACGACTTAATGCATTAATTGTTAAAGCTTTTACCGAACCATTTTGGTATTGTTGGCGGTCCATCCTTTTAGACCAAGCCCTTATTCCCCAGGGTAACATAATCCGGACTCATACGGAGCCGCACTGGTCAATGGCAGGTGTCCACTATATTCTTGTCATTATCTTCCGATAGGATTTCAAAGAGAAAAAACAAGTTTCCATTGATGGTATTTGTAATTTCACGGACATTAAATGCCCATAGCCGTTTAAAATAGGATCGTGGTTGTATACTGAGAAATTGGAGACGTTCCATAGAACTGATAAATTCCACTGCATGTCTCACCTGTAAGGTTTAATGCCAGGAATATGCCCCAGGGAATGACTAGAATATGCTGCTTCGGGGCCACATAGATAGATACATATACAACGGGAGGCCGGACAGAGCGCATGCCAGTCAACTAAATACTCCAAAGAATATCTGAACCTTTTTTATTTACTCTATACAGTACCAGGGTGGAAGATACGGCATAGGGGTCCAGGTGAAGCGCTCGGCAAAATATGAACCAAACACGACAAAGGTGCATCTAGGACACCTCTACTGACCAGAACAGTCAGAGTAGCCGCTGGACAATGGTTCAAGTGATAGCAGTCGATCTTATCACAGCACCATGGTCTGCGGGCATGCCAGGCTATTCATTTTGTCGACCACTGCCAGCATTGACCATACCTCAAAGTCAATCATCCTTATTGTCATATTGTAGTGTTAGAATGGCAAACACCAAAATTGTAATTTGATTGTATGTATATTCAGAATTATTTCGTGTGGAATTAAGTATCGGTTACAGTGCCCAAATACTTGTATCTTGTAATCGGTTTGTTTCCCTACCAACGCCTAAGACCACGCCAAATAGGCCTATTACCATCATAATCATGTAAGGCAAAGGCTACGCATATGTTAAAACATAACGAATATACAGTATATATATATATATATATATATATATATATATATATATATATATATATATATATATATATATATTTCTGTCAGCTTTCATAGACAAGTCACTCTCTCGAACAATGATTTTGCATTGCAGATTGTGCTACTTGACTATATATACGTATTCTACGGAACACTGACAGTGATTGGATGACATAATCTACTTAGACGGAAAAGATTCCGAACATTGTCAATGTGTGTTTAGGTATTTCGATCCGAGACTATTGAACCTTACTTCCCTTGGTGTGTATACCACTACGTCAGGAAGAGGTCTGTGGCGTAACGTGATAAATATTTTTGTTCTAAAGTACACAATATCATGAATACAGAACCATCAACGTGGCGCCCTGCGTAATTCTGATCTCGAGATTTTTGCAAAGAGAAAGATGGTCTAGATGGTCCTACCTACGACCCTCCTCTCATTCCAAACGCCAAACTCGTACACGTCGATAGTCTATAAGACCGGTCTAAACTTGAATATTTATGTCAAAATGGCCCAAAGCTTCAAGCGACTTTTGGAAGTTCTGTGTCAAATATTTCACCCCATTGTCAATGTCACGGGCATGGAACGAAACACGCAATTACTCCCTGGGGGTTGCAAATTGTTTTTTGGAGTAGATTTAGCTGTTTCGTTGGGTGCCCAGAATGAAGGCAGCGTAAGATAAATTACCAGGATGACTTGCAAAATACACGCAAGATCAGATTTCAAACCTGCATATTTATGAATGGTCTACCGTAGCTACTGTGACAAAACCTTGCACAAATAAACTTTCCATCAAATCCTCGTTGACAAACTGATCGACTGTTGACCATGTCATCCCCCGAGATATTTTAATCCGGTGTGCACAGCCTCCACTGTTATCAGATCTTAACCAAGATGCAAGAACAACAGTCAATATGTTTTACTATTTTTACTTTGACTTTATTTGCTATCCAGTAGTATGCCATCCTGACAAACCAAACAACATATATTCAATTTCGTAACTTCAGTTGTTCACACGATTCAGAGCACACTTAGAAGGTAAGCGTATACGGGGCACTTGTAATCACTTATATACGTTGAATTCAAGAGGAATGGCTCTCGGAGGTCGAGGACTGCTTATAATTGAAATTTAGACAAAAGTTAAAATATAGTTTTGGCAGCTGATTCGCATCCAGTGCATGAGTCACATCTAGGTAAATATGGTCCTTTAGAGGATGAGTAATTTACGTTTAAATACTAATTATTTTCGTAAATATCTATCTCATATGTCAAAGAAATATTATTCTATGGCACATAAACGCATGCTAGTATAGTGAAGATAAGCAATTGCCGTGAAGATGTCGTTTTACTGACATTTATAAACACTCACTTCAAAATAAAATTTGGGCGAAATGGGCGTCATAAAGAGTTAGACAGTTGTGTTTT